TGATTGTCTTCTCAATAGAACATCTTTGATAATGTCTTCTTGCCAATCAGAATCACGATAACAGCGTGGTGTTGTTGCAGGAAGTCCCGACGGAGAATACTTTTGCTGTAGTACAGGGCAGCGCCATATAGATATCTATCTATAAATGAGGTAAAATAGATCTTTATTAATCCCCTTGGTGAAATTCAGGAGTTTAAAGCAGCAACAGAGTGAAAAACAGGACAGTACAGATTCACAGAAGGTTAAAAAAAGGTAATACAAAAATGAAAAATGCATTAGGCTATATAGTAACAGTTAAAACAAGATATCAAAACAAGGTAAAACGTTGATGATTTGAACGAACATATACACATTTCGGAGTTCGGATTGTTAGATGTATTTGCATGTAAGTATGCAGATATGACTGCAGGTCAAAGTAATTTGTCATCAAGCATTTAGGACACTAAATGCGCTCTACAAACGAAACACTGCAAATCAAATAACGCCGCATGGGGCTCTTTGCACCTGTCGGCCACCATACTTAAAGTTTGTAATATGAATAATTATTTCATAATACATCAATGAATACAAAATAAATAAAACAGGAGGGAAGAAGATTAACGGTGAAAAACTTGAAGGATTACCCTGCCCAATGTCCCCAGTTAAATGAACTGATACTTACAGATTCTCACAATTACCATACCTAGGAACCTATACCGTATTTCAAATAATAGCAGTGGTGGAAGAAGTACTCAGATTGTATACCAAAACAAAAGAAGAACATTCAAAAAATTACACTCTTACAAGTATGAGTCCTGCATTTAAAAAAAATCCTATTTAGAAAGTAAAAGTACAAAAGTATTGGCATCAAAATATACTCAAGAATAGAATTAAAAGTACACCGTCAGATATATTTCATTACACTTATTGATACTGTACACTATTGTGTCTATCACAGGTGAATCTAATTTGAAGTACTTTATATACTGCTACTGCAGGGCTGCTCAATTAATCGTATTTTAATCGCAATTACGATTTTGGCTTGCAACGATTATGAAAACAACATAATCGAAATAAAACGATTATTTCATTTTCTTTTTAATTATTATTTATTTAAAAAAGGAAAAAAAGTATAATTTTTTTATTGGTTTTTCAATTGAATTATACTTAAAGTTCAGGGTGATCAACTGTTAAAAACATACTACACATTTTTTGTTAAATGGATAATCGTTTTTAATAATCGTGATCTCAATTATTGACCCAAATAATCGAGATTATGATTTTTGCCATAATCGAGCAGCCCTACTACTGCATATCTATACCGATACTGATGTCAATGTGTACTTATTATTATTTGTTGATTTTTATTTTTGTATTAGGTATATATATTATCTGAACCTGTAAGGTGACAAGATAAATGTAGTGGAGTAAAAAATACAATATTGGCTTCCAAAATGTAGTGGAATAGAAGTATAAGGTAGCATTAAAAGGAAAATAATAGTAAGTACCTACAAATTATACTTGTACTTAAGAACAATACTTGAGTAAGTACCTAATTAAATTCCAACACAGATACATAGTATCAGTGGCGTTTTTATATGTACAAAACTGGTGGGGCACGAACAACTTAGATGTGTATAAGCTTCTGGTGCTTTTTTATACACGTAAACAAATAGCTGTAGGCTATCCATGGTTCCGATAGAGGGGGCGAGAAGCCGTGAATGAAGAACACGGAGCAACACTGTCAGCACATACATTTACGTACACAGCGTGGGGATGTCATATTGTAATTAGGGATGCCAGTGATTATTTGATTATTCGAATATTCGTTACAGTCTCCATAATCGAATATTATTTTTAAAAATCGATTTTATTTATATATTTTTTTATTATTATTTATGTATTTTTTTTTTCTGGCTTAGTTTCAACCAAAATATAGACTAATGCTAATAATAGTAATAGTATTAATAATTGTAAATGGCCATTGGTCACACCACCAGTTTGTTTTACTGTAAACTTGGAGGAAGCCTGCGTGCAGAGCAGACTGCTGCTGCAGCACGCTACACACCGACCCCGCCCCCACCCCCCCTCTCCCTCACACGTGCGACTAAAGATGAACAAAGCGGCAGGTAAAAAGAGTTCCTCCTCGTGGAACTACTTCGAACTTACAAGTCCAAAGGAAGTTAAATGCAAGCTCTGCGAAAAGACTTTGGTCTATCACAGCTCAACCTCAACAATGCGTTCGCATTTGAGTGCGAAGCACGCCAAAGAGGTTACAGAGAAAGACGCAGCACAGCCGGCCATTACCAACTTCACTTCAAGGCCACGTCGTTGTGATGACATGCGTGCATGTTTGTTGTTTGTACTGTTAAACATGTTCCAGTAATGAAAACAACAGAATTTTTCTCTCCCGCGGGGGGGATCGACCCCTTCATCGGTCGATCGAATAATCGATTATTATTCGCCAGGGCTGCCGAATAATCGATTTTGATCATGGTCAGTTTCTGGCAACCCTAATTGTAATGCACCTTAGTACATGGAGTAAAGGGCACCATCACAAAGCAATACTTAACAATAAGTGTAATGCTTCAGCATTAGCAGTGTAGTTTTTACAGTACTCGTTCATTTTGACAGCAGAGAGAGGGGCTAGATCAGAGCTTGCCCACATCGCTCAACACGGCTTAATGCGACTCAATAGGCACACTGTAGACACTAATCAGAAGATCGCAGACTAAAACAGCAATGTACAGACAAATCAGATGACTAAACATGATCTTAAAATATATTTGAAGATATATATATTTTTGCATATTATTGGAATTATTATTTTAATTGCCCCTGATGACGAGCAGAGTTGGGTGTAACGCGTTACAAAGTAACGGATGGATGAGTCATCTGTAAACTAGGGGTGGGCGGATCGATCCCAAAATATCGATACCTCCGATATTACGTTACGTTTCAAAATATCGATACTAGAGCCAATAGGATCGATACTGTTATACTTTTTTTCTCGTCTCCTCTACTCGTCAATTTCTTCAAAAAACTATGTGCAGACGAACACAAGTATATGCTCTTTTCTTCTCTCTCCACTGCTGTCCTCTTCTCCTCGAGGCTCCCTACCTGAACGCCGATTATCAAGCTGACTGACAGCAGCCAGCAGGGCAGGACAGCAGCAGCCAGCGACTCGCGAGTGCAACACACACACACGCGCATGATGACTGAGAGAAAGAGCAGCGTTGTGTGGAGCAATTTCACAACTGGCCATTAAAACGTAGCGAACTGTGATGTGTGCAAGAAGACAGTTCGCTACTTTGGCCACTTTGTATTGTTATTTTTCATGTTTGCACTTTAAATTTGCAAAAGTAAAACGTGTATTTGTCTATAAAAACTGTCCTGTCTTTATTCATGAAAATGAATTCAGATTTAGTCTATTAATGATGATTTCAGCTAAAAAATCATGTCATGCAGCTCTCCCCTATATGAAAGTACATAAGACGCTTTTCATTAAAAAAAGTATCGATATCGGTATCGGCGATACTGGCCCTGAAATACTTGGTATCGGATCGAATCCAGATTTTGTGGTATCGCCCACCCCTACTGTAAACTCCCTCAACGGGGCCGCTCGCTCTCTTTTGTTGATCGCCCTCTTACGGGTGAACAGTTCAATGTCCCGCTTCATTGTAGGAATTCTGCCATGTCTCTATCACTTTAGTTTGACCATCTCTGTTACTAAGTTATGGAATACTAAATACATAAGTAATTAGATACCTTACCGTTATGCGCTCATAAAGAATGATAAGAATAATGCGTCTTGAACTGGTTTCATTCATTAGTGTCTTGACGTTTCACAGACTGTTAGCTTGTTGTGTGGCTGGTAGCCTATTTTAGAGCATATAAAAAGAAAGACTTGTGTTATGTCTTCCTTAATGCAATAGTAATTAGGGGTGCAAGTGGAGTCTCGCAGAGGCAAAACTGTGGCGCGCACACTGTAGGTGCGCCGCAGTCTGCGTGATCTGCCTGTAGGGAGGGGCGGGCCGGCCCTGCGAGTAAAGTAACGAGTTACTTTATGTAGAGAGTAACGAAGTAGTGTAATATATTACTTTTTTTAAAAGTAATATGTAATATGTAATATATTACTAACGACCCCATCTCTGATGACGAGTCGCCACTGCATAGAGTGTACTTTTGTTGTTTTTGTTGATAGTTTTGGTTGTGTATATTATATTCTGTGTAATGCACATAACTTCATGAGGATATTCATGATAACACTAGATGTCAGCACCAGATGATGGGATGATCAAACTGTCAGTCTGTAGTCCAAATAAAATAATGCATGTGCTTGCTTTTACAGTTCTGAGCTGCTCTTGTGATTGACTGTAAGCTGAAGCATGGAGTTGAAACATATGACACTTATTAACTTGCACTAACACACTCAACTGTTTCTATTCTGTGTGCACAGGTCCATCCATGACACTTCACTGTTAAGCCCCTGTGACAGATATATTATCAGAATCTGCTTCTGTGTAAATGGGCTTACATAGACAAAGAGAGATGAATACGTTTTATAAAAGAAGCAAAAAATAGTGCTATTATGAAAACATTTTTTAAGACTATTTTAAAAAAAGAAAAGAAGACAATATTTATTTTGACGGTAAGGGAAATTTGCAACAAGCACAATAGGGCCCGTCTAAAAATATATTAATATTGTAGACTATAAAAAGAGTGCGTGTGTAACATGTACGTGATGATACTTTATAGCGCTCAGGAGTCCATTTCTTATGGCATGTTGGAAAAAACTAAATGATACAGTCTCCGCACAAAGCAGTTTGATATAAAATAGAATATATACTTTGTATTTCTTTGCACTTATGTAAACACAAGCTAACAAAACTAACACATGATGTGAGCATGTTCTGCACACCTGCTCTCTTTTAAGTTTGTAATCAGCTGTATGATTGGGAACCCAGTTTTTTGTTATTTTGTGACAAGACCGTTACTGTTTTTTGTTACTGTGGTGTTAGGTGTCCCTGGTGGTGAATGTAGCCAGTGAATGTGGCTTCACTGAGGAACACTACAAAGACCTGCAGCAGATCCAGAGGGACTATGGGCCGTATCACTTCAATGTTCTGGCCTTCCCCTGTAACCAGTTTGGGCAGCAGGAGCCCGGGAGCGACAAAGACATCGACAGCTTTGTGCGCAGAGTCTACGGAGTCTCCTTCCCCTTGTTCAGTAAGATAGCTGTTGTCGGAACCGGAGCCAACAATGTCTACAAATATCTCGTCGGTGAGTGAGATGTGGTGTGAGTTTGTTCTTGCATCACATGTATATATTTTCTTTACTTAGCAGCTGAGCCTGAAAGAAAACCAGGTTTATAATAACTGTGGAACCCAGGGCCGGACTGGGACAATAAGTCAGGCCGGGAATTATACACCCAGCCAGGACACTACCAGTTTCTTTTTGTGCCCTTTTGCTGGATTTATTTGTGAATATTTACAGCGTTGCTGCCCATAGTGATAGTAGTTTAAAGGTCCCATGTCATGCTTTTCCGGTTATTACCCGTCCCCTTGTGTGTTATGAAGGTTTTTCTGCATGTAAACGGTCTGCAGAGTCACAAACCCTCAAAGTACACCCGAGTAAAACTCTAACACAGAAAAGACCTGTCTTTGCTGCCCCAGAACGCCTCGTTGGAGATTTCTCTTCTTCCATTTGTTCCCGGAACCAAAATGGACCAATCCGCTGAGCTCCTCACACACCAGGACCTTTAGCGTACATTTTCAACTAACAGGGAGTCTCATTGACTTGCATAGAGCTCCCTGGTTGGTAATAGACGAGTTGGGATCGCGGAGAAATGCTCTCCGCAGACCCATGCTCACAGCGTTATAAACCTTTTTCTTACTCAATATCAAGCCACACGTTAGGGCTGTGCGATTATGGCAAAAATCATAATCACGATTATTTGGGTCAATAATTGATATCACGATTATTTTGACGATTATTCATTGACCATTTATTGAACTTTAAAACAAATAATATTTTACCAATAAACAAGAACAAATATGTTGGAGCGCACTTCCAAAACCATACTAAACATATATTATTAATATGATAAATAAAAATAAATTAGACCAAAATAAATTAAATCAAATATGATGCAGTGCACTGTCACAACCTACTGAAAACTCCTTAACATATAGCCAACATTTTGGTAAAACATATTCAACATATTCCACTCAGTTAAACGTTGAAGGCTGGCCAACCGTCATGGTCCAGAAGTAACAGGAAATAAATGTTGAACTACAATTTAAGACCAAATAAAAATGTTTAGGCCACCATGGCAAATGCTGGTAGGGCTGCTCATGTCATCTCTTAAAGATGTTTTGCAAGAAACACAAAGGCTGTTTACATGGTCTGGTTTCAGAGATGAGCGCAGGCAGGTGACAATATTGCCACCTGTACTGAAGACCCTCAGCCACGCTCCGACACATGTGACGCCGGCCAATCACAAAGCTTTGATGCGTTCAAGTGCATTCTTTTGGCACAGGAAGATTATGTTAAAGGACATTAACGATAAAACAGAATATTGTTGTTCTATTTTTAGACACATCTCGCGATCGACTGGTTGGGCACCCCTGGGCTAGACCATAGGTCTGTTGTCGTGGTAGCAAAGTAGTCAGCTGAAGCCACATCTCTCTCAACTTCCCCACGGCATTTGTCATATAGTGCAGGCAGCGCAGACCTGCTGAAATAATACCGAGACGGCATCGCGTAACGCTTGTCCAACGTGTTGACAAGTTTCTTAAAGCCCTGGTTGCTAACTGGGCACATATCTTTAGCGATGTGAAATGTAATGGCAAAGTACTTGCAAATAGTGGAAATAGTTTTACCCTTCTTTTTAACGAGTTGCTGCTCTTGTTCTGACATCTTCGCTCTCGCTGAACACTCACAACACATGTCACTCCCACGTGGCCGAGTGGGCTTTTAGGGAGGGGCGAAAGCGCACCCAGCAAAATAATCGTATTTTGTCAATTATGCTGTTTTCATAATCGTCGCAAGCCATAATCGTAATCGCGATTAAAATACGATTAATTGCACAGCCCTACCACACGTATTGTTTTTACTTCGGCTGTGAGTGTTTGTGTGTGCTCAGGATGAGTTTCGTGCTGTCCCGCTGTATCGCCGACCCGGAAACCACACCAGTAAGCCAGCTCACTGAGCAGCGAGCCTCGCAACGTCTCGACCAATCAGAGCACACTGGGCTCACAGGGAGGGGGGGGGGTTGAGCTCCAACAAGCCGTTTAAGACAGAGAGTGAATACCGGTGAATACACATACTTACAGAGATGCTGTATGAGAAACCAATGTGAGTTTGGAAAATTGCACAGTATAAATCTATTTTAGTAGAAATGGCCATGACATGGGACCTTTAAATCTACTACCCAATAATAAACATATATGGAGATGGGTTACTATTTAAAAAAAATGTGCAAATGTATTTGGGAACCTATCCATGTGAACAAAATTGGGGGTGGTCCTCAAATCCTCTAGGGGGGTCCGGGGGCATGCCCCAGTAAGATTTTTATTTTTTATTTGGAGTTAAATGCATCAATCTGGTGCACTTTGAGGGGGAAATAAAGAGACTACACCCATATGAAACAGAACTGTATACATTTCAATAATCATAAAATCATAAGAACATGGCCATAACCAATAACATACCATATCCAATATAATTTCATTTTTAAAAGTTGTTTATTTATTTATTGTTGGTTCATTTATAGTTGTGAGTGTGTCTGGGATCCTGAAACAGCCTCATTTGTCTCCCCCCTCTCCCTTCTCTCCCCCTGCTCCTCTTGAGGCAGCAGCAAAGACTAGTTTTAGCTCTCAACTAGTTTTAAAAGTTTATCTTACCTTTTTTCACTTATTTAACATTTCTTTGTTTTTATTCTTGCATAATTTACTATTCACTCCCCCCTCAAATGGAAATATGTGTTTACATAAATGGTGACCAAACCGTTTGAGACCCACTGAGATAACTTAGAGTCTTAGACTAATCTAAACACTCAGAGTCCTTAACCTTACCTGAGCTGTAGTTATCTCTCTCAGTCTGACAGCAGAGGACTCTCCCCCACCTTGTTGTTGAAACAGCTCCTTATATCTGTTAGAGCAGCTAGCAAATCAGATGCTAACAACAAAAATACAAGTAACGTTGGCCGTCTCTCTCCTCTCTCTATCTCTCTCTCTCTCTCTCTCTCTCCCTCTCTTCTCTCTCTCTCTCTCTCTCTCTCTCTCTTCTCCTCTCTCTCTCTTCTCTCTCTCTCTCTCTCTCTCTCTCTCCTCTCTCTCTCTCTCTCTCTTCTCTCTCTCTATACTCAGCATTTCTAAAACCATATTACACAAGTTACCACAGGAGAGGGTTGTCCGACCTGGAAAATAACGATCAACGAGAGGAATCACATGTAGGCCTATGACACAGCATTAAAAGTACTAAGATAGAGAGAACTAAGAAATATAGACAGGTGCAGGAATGAGTCCTAAAACCCAGAAATGATTTAGCATTTTACAACTTCCGGTTCCCTCTTCTCGAAGTGAACGTCTTTCTGAATGTGTTCATGGCTTAGAGGCCTGAAATAAGGTCTGTGGTTAACACAAGCTAAACAACATAAAGTACTGGAGTTATAGCCCACTCATGAATGTACATATAGGTCAAAACAACTATAACTGCTTACAAGTGACTAAATAAACTGACGAAACATGGATGTATAAAAAGAACTTGATCTAGCGTTGGAGGTGACCGTGACGTGGAGCTTATCTTGCTGATCGAAACTTGTGATGTATCATAAACGTGTGTTAGCCACATAGCTTATTATCCTTGCTATGCTAACTTTCGGGTCAGCATTACAAATACATCATCACTGCACCACTCTATATAAGCAAAGAATAACAGGGAGGAAAGAAGACAAACAAAACATGTCAAACAGAAAAAGGAACAGGAAGTAAAACAATTAGAGGAGATTAAGAGGAGGAAGAAATAAGTACATCAAAATAAAAGGAAGTGGTCAAATCTGCCTATAGAAGCTTTGTTGAAATGTGTAAAAAAGGACAAGAAAAATCTGTTAAAACAAAAGGAATGAATAGAAAACAAACTATGAAGAAGGGCAGGAAGAGTCTTTAGGCTGAGGCTAAGAAATGACAATGTGGTTAAAGAGACAATGTTTTAAATTGTGAATGCTTTTATTCATTGCAGAGTCTTCTGAAATGGAGCCTGACTGGAATTTCTGGAAGTATCTTATTGATGTCGACGGAAAAGTGGTGGATGCATGGGGACCAAAAGTTTCCGTGCGAGAAATTCGACCTAAAATAGCTGAAATGATGCGACAGATAATCCTAAAGAAGAAGGAAGAGCTTTAGCCATCTGTCACATGACCCTTTAGTGTGTGGGTTAGATTTACATGCGTTGGTACATGAACCAAAGAGATATTTTGCTGGTTGATTTGGATCTTCTTTGAATATTCCATTATATCCAAGTAACATGGCCAAAGCAAATTGTACGTGCCTTCTGAAGGCACTGCTGAAACACCACTATGTTTTTATATTTAATGTCACATTTCATATCAGATGGATGATATTTAAAGCTGCAGCCTTAAGCCAAATCACTTCTCTCCTTTCTGTTAGACATCTTGATAATGTTTTAGATGTTGTATTCATTCTGATTTGTTGAATAAACTTAAACTGTGATGAGTGAAACCTTGCTATTGTCACTATGTTATATTGAACGGAAATGTTCAGAACACAAATATTTGGCACTTTTCTTAATGAAAAACAGATCTCTTAGAGAAGAAGCCAAATGCAGAGTCTGAGGCAGGAAGGTTTTATACAAATACTTTATTAAACCTATTATATGAACTAGGGGTCGATCGGGGACGATATTCCGCATTTGACCGATTATCGGTATCGGCCTTTTTTTTTTATCAAATTGCCGATAAAACTTTGGCTCTGATGCGGCCGTTTCTCTGGCTGCAGTCACCAGCAGTGTACACGAGCAATGTCCCGCCCACAGCGCTATCTGATAGGCTATTACTGAAGATTTTCCGGGCGGGAGCCAGCCAGAGAGGCGGGACCTTCTCAGATTACAGGCAGGTGCGAAAGAACGCAGACACAGACTGAAGCAAGCAGCAGCGCTGAGCGGCAGAGCCATACATGTGTTAAACCGAAGTTCAATAAACATCCCTATCCCCTATGTTGAAGTTGCAAAAACACCACGATTTTATGATCCAATTCTATCAGTTACACAGGGACGCGGGAAGTCAGTCAGAGTTGGGGGTGCGTGCAGCGTCTCGCAGCGGAGTAACTGTGGGGAGGGGGGGGGGGGGGCTGCGAGTGGAGCCTCGCAGTTTTTCAGGTTGATATGTGAAGCTCATTAGCTAGCCAACATGTATCGAGCAAATGTTTAGCAAAATATTAGAAGTGAGGCTACTAGACTAACGTTAGGTCTACTGTAATAGCCTCACTTTTAATAGTTTGCAAAACATTAGCTAGCACTAGTGTTTTGCAGTTGCTAGCAGCTTATTGGGATTTTATGCTAGATAGACAGATCTAATAAATTAAGCATTATTGTTAGTTAAGCATGCCAGCCTGCAGCCCCACTTGTCTCTCTCTCTCTAACTCATTGCAGATGACTGCACTAAAGAAAAGGGCACAGAGAGGAAACCAGTTGTAAGATGTTTAAAAGTTAATTAAACATAATATAGGCTATGCTTAAATGCATTTCAAAGAAGTTGTGTTGGAGTTTGTGTTATTCTACATTTTGACACCAAGATTTTTTTTTTTTACTGCAAATGTATATCGGTTCCAAATATCGGTTATCGGTCTCCTTGATTACTAATAATCGGTATCGGTATCGGCCTTGAAAAAGCCATATCGGTCGATCCCTAATATGAACCATGCAAAACTGGATTTTTTTCATGTCATTCATTCAGTCTCTGTTCAGTTTGATCCAGTCGTCACGTTAATCATACATATCCCAATCTGCATGAACTCATCACCTCTGTTCGAACTTTAAACCTAATTTATAAATCCCAAAGGTATTACTGTTTCCTCAAAGCACTGGCCAATCAGAAGAAAGTGCGAGGAGTTAAATGATAGACTAAGGGGACAGGATGGTTTAGTAATAATTATTGTACTACACACTGATATACAGTTATACTTGGAGCAACGCATGGATACTCACTGTACTACATACAGTTCTGGCACGGACGCTCACCATACCAGAGACAATACTGAATGTATACTCACTAGTAAACACAGGAAAGGAGTCGTCATCAAGTGGTAAAAGCTATGGCAAATATTTACTGAGAATTAGGATGTGGTTTATCTGCTACCTGTTCTTCCTTTAAGAAAGAGTGAGAGTTCCTCTTTTTAGACTTTTAAGTTGGGGATGACAGTCGCTACAATTAAACTGCTTGAAGCATAGAGCCACTTTTGACTTAGAAACCAAAATAAACTTTGGCTGTGCAGAATTTTTTTGTATAAAGACCTTTGTAGCCTATGGTGGTGTATGGCATTGGTTAAAGTTTCAGACATACACATAATACTTGCACACTCATCTTTGACTTCATTTTTTCTTTTAAGTAGACCCTGATACTGTATATTTATTTCCTTTCTGAAATACGTACATTCATTTTATTTTATGTACGATAAACACACTGCTTTATTTTTGCAGTCCACACAGGCTCCATTATGTCAAAAGTATTTTGAATTCATGCAAAAGTATGAGGAACTTCATATGAATCACAGTAAAATATACTCCTGGGAACTCAGTTGATGTTAGGGGCTCGCACACGATTTTGCTGTCAAAGACAAACGTTAAAAGTGCATTGTGAAAGACATGCTAGATTCAGGTTAAAACATTACCAAAAATAATTTACATTATTAACAGAATGTGAATCAGTGTTTGTTGTTAGGTCAAAGATATTTATATTTTATGTTGTAGTTATATCTACTGAAATTAGTATGTTTAATCACTAGTTGCGGCCCTTTGACGCGTTAGCAAGGGACTGCCGTGACAAAGTTTGTTTTGTTTCTGTGACTTTGCATTTAGTCAAAAAAAACTGAACAAACATACCTTCCCATGGAGTATACAGCCCTCGGTCAACGTTAACGCCACAGTAATCTCACTTAGAGTAGTAATCTAAAGCTAAGTAAAGCCACTATGGCTTGTACAATTATCCAAATGGACACACCATAGACATTAGCCAGCAACATTAAAGGGGCTCTATTGTGCTAATTCTCAGGTTCACATTTCATTTTTTTTTGTGCCTCTACTTTGACTTTTATTTTCAAAAAGGTGTTTATTTTTCTCATAAACATAAAAACATATTACACAGTTCAGAACAGGCACAACCCAATAAAGCACAAAAGGACACCTAGGCTAAAAACCCTTAACAAAACAATGCAGAAGAGCTTGTGTGATTCTCTTTATTTTAAAATGATATTGTTGGGAAAACGTTTTTTCAGTGCTCATCAAATAGAGAAGTTATCCCCCTTTTTCAAATCTTACTTTTAAAAGGGGAAAATAGATATTGGTATATTGAGGTAGATATGGTATTTAGTTAAGACCTGTCCCATTGCTGAGCTCCACTAAGTGACAACTGTCTTTCCAGCTTTCTTTTGTCACTCAGAATAAGATACTCGAATGCCTTTTGACAAATATACAAGATGTTCAACTGTTGACTATAATTAGACAAATAACTGTCAGTTAGAGACGCCTCGGTGAGAGCGTGTTGTGTTTGGTTTTCTCTGTGACCTAACACATTGTAAAACGCACGTATGGAGTTCACCGTTACCCAAACAGACTCACATAAAAAGGAAGTAGAGAAGGGGCCCATGTAAAACTGACCAATGGAAATTATTCAAAACAATATACAAGTTTTTTCCCTACTTTGAAATTCAAAGTAATGCATACAGTTCCTGTTCCTTCTTCTTGTGCACGGTGTAGTATCCTCCTCTTTTTAAACACAGGTTTGTATATAAGATGTGATTCCACAGTCAAAAGAGCAATGCAACATTTTCACATCACGATGAAGCTGATTCTGTCCCTCACTGTCATCTGGATGCTCTCCAGCTCAGGTAACTCACTCTTTAACTGAGTTTATTCAGGTAATTTTTAAAGATACAAAACGCTATATGGAATGAAGTTCTGAATTTAATAAAAAATATTTTAGGGAAATAACTTTTCGTAAACATGACCATGAGGCTAACTTTACCAGTCACAAAAATGCCTTTAATCCAGATAGCATGTCAGTGACCTAGAGGTAAAGTCAGAAGGAAATATTTAAATATGGAACTGTTAGTGAGGCTGATGGAGAACAGGACAGTACAGGTGTCACCATAGACTTTAGTAAAACTGCAGCTATATAAATTAACGAGTTGCCTTTAAAATAGTAAATCAGTGATTTTATGGTAAAATATGCGTATTGTTCAGCTTCCCTTCATCATTTGACTGAATATTCCCTGGTGCAGCTGGAGCTCTTATGTGTAAAAATGATGCAACCAGTGTGGCCTGTACCAATGAACATTGTGAAACAGCTATGGTTATAGTTACTATACAAGGTAAGTGTACAAATATTTAAAAGAAATGTGTTGTTTCCTCATGTCAGTGTTTTTTTTAAACAATATTTCATAATAAAGATCTTTTCACATTTGTTTTTTACAATTTACAAATTGCAAATATATTTAACAGGCCTGACAGGACGAACCAAATCATGTGTGTCATCCTCTGTCTGCGAACCCAACAATCAGACATTTTCATTCAATTATGGTGGCGCTCAACTCACTGCATTTGTTCACTGCTGCAAGACAGATAACTGCAACAGTGTTAATGTGTCTGGTAAGTGAAAAGAAGTAATAGAATTAAGGAAAGGAAGTGCCATTTATATATCACAATATATACAAAAATGAATGAAAGCTTTAGCGCAAGTTCAATAAGGAAGACCAAACTCGAGTCACTCACACGTCACTCTATGGCTCCCTTCCCCCCTCATTAAATATGAGGGCGTCACGCCTCAGCAGCCAATCGCTGCACATGCTAAATGCCTTAAATACCTGCTCTTCCTCCCTGTCAGTTGTCATTGCAGATGATCACACGCAACCCGCCTCCACCCCTCTCGCCTCCCGTCTCCTTCAGGACAAAGCTAAACCTTCCTCCTTCAGACTGGTCTCACCTACTCATCACCACCACCAGTGTCTAGACCCCGGGGATTTCATCGGAGCGGTGCTTTCCCTCCTGAATGATTATCCTGCAAACCGGGGGCCTAATCGCCAAACACCATTACATTCTCCTGTTGTACTATCATGGCAATCATTTCATTCATATGACGTGTAAACAATAAATATGTAATTCTTACATCACGTCTCTCCGGGTTGAACTAGTTTTGGCCTTTTTTTATGTGTCTCCTCTCCTGTTCTGTTTCAGCCACTGGAAATCAGACAGAAAACAAACTGATGTGTTACATGTGTGATGGTGGTCAAAGTACTGTCTGTAACAAAACAGTACAGTGTAATGGAAACCAGGACCACTGCGTTAAAGGGACTGGTGAGCTCTCATTCTGCATATTCAGCAAATTCCTTAGCATTTGTAACTACCAGTGGTGGAAGAAACACTCAGAAATACTATGGGTTTAGAACACTTGAATTGAACATTTGACTTAAGTAGAAGTACAGAAGTATTACCAGCAAAGATAACTTTAAGTATCAAAAGTAAAAGTACTCAGTATGGACGATTTACTAGTTTATTTAATTTTAATTTTTTATATTATTATTCTGTAATATCACCATCAATGTTGAGCACATTCTAGTTATTTAAAAAAATACTGGGTAGATTAAAAGTACAGCACATCATATAGTATGAGTGAATCATGTGGTTTTATGTGAACCAAGTAGTGGAGTAAAATGTACAATATTTGCCTTCAAAATGTAGTGGAGTAGACATATAATGTGGCATAACATTGAAACACTAAAGAAAAGTACAAATATGTTAAAAGAGTACTTACAAACAATATTTTAGTTAATGTACCTTGCTTCATTTCACCACTGGTTACTTCTGCCTTCAACTATTCCTCCATGTGTGTGGTTTCAGAGATCTGTAAAAACTGTGGTCTATAACAATGATTCTGTCATCCACAGTTCATTATAATGGAAAGGACTCTCTCTTCTCTGGCTGCGCCTCTAAAAACATGTGTGGAGCTGCTTCTCAGCTGGGCTTCCTGACTGGCGCTCTGAAATTCGACGATGGACCACACTGCTGTGACACCAAGCTCTGTAATTCAGCCTGGACCGTCAAACTGAGTGTTGTTCCCTTTTGGGTCGGACTCCTTTTGTTTGTTGCCCTTTAGAGCAAAAAGCAGCTGATAAAAATATCACAACCTACCAATTATTATTGATTTTTGTTAGTGATGTGTTTATTATTATTTATCAATTTTTTTAATAATATTAGTCAATATAATATCTCCTTTTGATCAGTGATGGTACAGTCATACACATTCTAACCAATAATGTCTACTTCCAAAGTTTTTACACAGATTGAAATTATAAAATGACTGATTATTGATTGAAATACTCAAATGAATACAGAACCTGCCAGTTACAAAAAACAAATCCAAATAAATATACAAAGTCAAATTCTTGCATTGTACTTGTAAGCAATTTCCTATCTATCGTGGCCACAATTATTCATCATAAGGGTATTATTGTAATAGCCAAAGACATTTTGAAAAACAAATGATACCAAACCAATGATATGTCAAATTAATATTTAACTATGTTTCTTGTTCTGCTTTTTTTGCAAATGGGAGATGGAGAAATAATATGTATGTATAAGCGATGATTTAATAGGAGCTTTCATTATTACCAGATATAATCACGTGTATTTTGGACATATCAACATTCTTTTAAATTCACATTTGTGTTACATGATGAGTAAGTTGAAAATATACTCTTCTTTTTGTGCTGGTTTCCACTTTCTGGATATTAATATGTATATATCCATAAAGTGTAAGTGTAAAAGTGTAAAATCATGTTATATCCATACCATGAATCAGCTGTTTGGATATAGAAATTATCGATTTCACTTTCTTGTTATTCATGTGCAGTTATCTCTGGCATATATATGAACACCTGCTGTAATAAGTACTCACCATAATAAAGCTTCAACTACAAGCTTCTATCTTTGTTGCTAAGAGAAATCCTCAGACCACAATCGCACACTGTGCAAGAAAAAGGTAACAATGACTTTAAAGCTTTGTTGAGCTGCTGTGCTGGTGATAACACTCTGTTGGTTTATTGATAGCAATCCCTTTAACATCCTACATAATCATTTGATTCACTGTTAATAAGAAATACTGATTGGTGTAGTTTTGGGATCCCTGGAAAAGTAAAATATTCTTAAGTTATCTCATCTATCAGGTAGTCCTACCACATCTAGTAGCACAAATAACTCCCCACTGAGCTATACTGTATGGCTTTAGCAATTGAGCTATACAGATCTACCAATGTAACCATACGGCTACATTAGATTTGTATATATTATATGTGACAAGAATAAAATATGTATATTATAAACTTTAATCACATTATTTTTTTACATTTTCTGATACAGAATTGTTTTGATGTTGTGATTTTTGATATTGCACACATACCAGAACTGCATAAGCCTAATATTTTTCAATAAACTAAGCAAAGTCAGACAAGCAAAGGTTTGTTTCCATCTCAGAAATATAAATAAAAAGACCACCTTGCGATATTTTGTTACTCATGTTAAAGCTCAAGTAAGGGGCTACTGTGCATATCAACTTTAATATATCTCCAAAACTTGCATACATTTCCAATATTAATACGTTAGAATACTTTGAAATGGTTAACAGGGTTAACAACAGTATTTTATCCATTAATGGACCAGCTCCAGCTAGGAGAAAGTCTGAAGGATGGACATTTGTAATCAGCTGTAGGAAGGAATAATGTTATCATTCAGTCCAGGAAACCACGGGTTTCGGCTCATTTTGACTGCGGTATGGAAATCAACATGTTCAAACAATCGAAGGTCTTTGATAGCAAAAAAGTCATTACAAAAACAAATTCAAATACATTGACCCCACAAAAGCAGTGGAAAAGTTTATCAGTCCAAGAATCCACAAGTAGACTAATAACAAGGTTGTTGTAGAAAACTAATCTAGAAAATCATGCGTAGCTGTAAAGACATGAGGCAGTATGTCACATCGTAAACATTGGCATTTTTTAACTTCCAATTCTAGCTCTTCTTATGCAAAATCACAAAAACTGAAAAAAAGACAATAAAAAAATGTGCGGTTGCTCATTTCACTGTGGTTCGATTCCCAGCCCTTGCTTTCGACATGTTTAGGTGTCTTGGGCAAGATGGACGGTCCATTTACGATATCCACCTGACAAATGTGGAACCAATTACCTCTCCTTTTGGTTCTCCTTCAACTCCTGTATATCTTATCTGTTGTGGAAAAGTGTTGTGGGGATCCCAAGAGAAGCTGGAAGACCTGTCCAGGCCTGGGTTATCTTGCATTGACTGCTACCACCATGAATAGGAGTCCAACTTAGAAGCTCTCAGTCTTGTATGTTTTTCAGAAACTCATCTATTTCTCTGCACATTCTGTTTCTGCCCCTTACTCTGATCTTCTCCAGAGTTCTGAGGCTGTTCTCACGATAGCAAGATTGTTGCGTTATTGCTGCTGCCATTATGTGATATTCTATCGACTTGTAGCTCTCCTTTCGAAAGCGGTGTACATATTGTGCGTAGTTGTTGTAAAGCATCTGTGCCCCTTCTGCACCCAAGTCACTTCCCAGCAGTTCCTCGTATATCTCATCAGTTTTTCCTTGGTCATTGGACTCGGCATAGATGTTTGCAAGAGATATTTTCCTTGTAAGTGAAGAAAAAGGGTAAAGAGTGATCACTTCTTTATGGAGACTGATTGCTCGATCGATCATACCGTTCTCCAAAGGATTGTCCCTGTGCAGAAAGATCTTCTTCTTGTAGCAGATTGCAGCACATCTCTTGAGGTAACGCTCATGTGGATGTCTTTCCAGAACCTCCTCTGCCAAGTCAATGGCCTCATCCATGGATACATAGATTCTGTACAGCCTTAGTAACGGTTTTAAACCACTGTAGCTGCTGATGGGCTTTCTTAAAACTCTTCTAGCCAACTCCCGTGCTTCAGTTTCCATTTTTTTTCCCTCTCTTGGCACATGCCTCAAAGTACAGCGCAGTGAGGTACAAATTATCTGGATCATGTTTCTTGGCGATTTTCAATTTATCAAAGATATCAGCCCCCATGTTTTTCTCTCTGTGCCTAAGAGCATTCTCCAACCCTATGACGTGGCTGGTGTGCCACTCCACCATGTCCGGCTGCATCCTGATGGCTCTCTGGAAGTTATCCGCAGCAAGCAGCATTTTGTCTGCGCTGAACTTCATCAGGGTCCAGGCTTTTTCAGCACAGATCTCTGGATGGAGCTCCTCCTGGGATGGAGATGGATATTCATTCATCAGGAACTTGACTTTAGACAGGTGAGCCTCACTCTCTGCTTGTTCTCCCTCATGGTAGTGCAGCCAAGCCAGGTTCCCGTGGTTCACCACCAACCAAGGACCCTCATCTGAGACAGTGTTTTTAATCTGACGGAAGGCCTCTGCAGCCCTGCTGAAGAAACGGTAGGCATCATCGCTGAGGCCCAGCTGGTAGTGGATGAACCCCTGCAGGTTGTAAATGTGACCCAGCCAGCTGTATCCCTCCTCTGTGCCGATGTCCTCTAGCTTGTCCCTGAGACAGAAAAGCTTGGAACTGCTCGGGTCCAGATCCCAGGTGAAGTGGCACTGCAGGGCCTCCAGTTGGGCCTCCAGTCCTGTTTGACTCTGAGCAGCACTGGAAGAGATACAAAATAAAAAGTGTCAGAGCTCTTGTGCTGTACAGTAATATAAAGTGCTCTGCGTGCTGCGGAATGTAAGCATGTAACAGTTATTATCTTAATCTGAAAGAATGAAGGAAGATGAAACATTGAATCAACAGGAAGGAAGGAGTGTCCGAGGGAATAATAGTGTACTCAGTAGAGTGCAGATCCCCACCCGGTGTTTCTTCGACGACCACTGCTGTTTTGTTTGTTTGATTGATTGAATGAAAACAACAGAAAAGAAGGACAGAAAGACAGCAGAAAAGTAAATAATTAATGAAATGAGAGGAGAGGAATAAGGAAGGAGTGATAAAGGAAAGCAAAGTTGTGAAAATAAGAAGATTGACATGGAAATAAAGTTAAAAAAGGACAAGTTTCAATGGTAGAGAGGAAGTCAAAAGAAGAGAGGAAAAGTAGGGAAAGCAAAATAAATAAGAAAGACAAGTTAACAAAGGAAGGAAACCATAAATAGCAAATAATGGATAAAACTAAGAAGGAAGTTATAGAAGGAAAAGAGATGACAGCACAGTAGAGAAATTGATGTAGGGAAATACATAATAAGAGGTGTAAAACTAAATAAAGAAAATTACAAAATAAACAAGCAAATACTAAACACAGAATAAGATTTGAACAATTTGTAACATATGATATAATGTATAATATATGATAACGTATAGTCATGGTGAAAGGTAGACATATTATACAACATAATATCAAGTAAACAGCAATATAATATAGGATATACAACAGAGTATCAAGTATATATATTAGACGGCAGTATCAGTGTTATATATTATATAGCCTAATAAAAATATGTAAAACACATAACTATAAAAACAGAATAAATCAACGTTTTTGTATAGACAGGTATATAAAGTCTCGAGCCGAGAGACAATGGAGGACTAAATCAGATCAGTGACTATTTATCCAAAATGTTATACATATTCAAATTGTGACTGATTTCAGAAATAACATACAAAGTCAGAAGCTCACCTCATCATCCAGCTGCAGTCTGCTTAATCTTAGAAGTCTATTTCTGCTCTTTACACTTTGTACACTGCTGCTTTGGGTGCAGCACCATAAAATCAGTAATGTTCAACTTATGTGTGAACGTAATGTACAAGTGTTGCAAAAGACGTACTTTTCCCAGACACATTTTTCATGACTGAACAGATTTGTTTGGAGATCTGTTTTTCCTTGAAATTCAAGTTTTGGCTTTCAAGGCAAGAACAACATCGGAATACTGACTCTACCTCCATTTTCAAATCACGTCTCAAAACACATCTTTTCACACTTGCATATCCACATTGATCACATCACACGCCCTCTGTTTTTATTGATTATAGTTTATATATAACAACTTCAAGTCCCAGTTATTCCACACCATTTTCCAAATTAATCCAGAGGGAAATTTACAGAAAAATGGAAGGCAGCCAGGAAAACCACGCTGGTATTGTTTTTTGCCTTGTGATTCTGTGTTTCATTCTGCAAAAATGTGATCCTGAAGCTCCTGGCAAACACAACATTTTCCCAGTACAATGTAAACTCTGGCAAATATGATCAATCACAGATATTCAAAGGCTAACAGTTTTTGTTGCAAGAAACATGCCAAATAAGTGTATAACGGTTTGTGAATATTCATTGGTTGGAAGTTGGTGGCTTTTTTTATTATTATATTTTTCTGCATGTATTGATCGGCAGACAGTGTAATATTTAGATATCATTTTAAAGCCTCGTCTTTAACCTTTATCAATAAGGTTACTAAAGGTTAACGTTCTTTATTTTTAGGCATGCATGGTTCTTAGATTTACCTTTCAAAAAGAAGATGTTGACATCATTAACTCAATTTGCACTACTTTCTCATTTATGGCCATCAGACATTGGATTATGATTCAAGATGATCTTGAAACCTCAGATTTTCACATTTTTTCCCATAATGCAAAAAGAAAATGGATATAGGGCAACCAGTCTAGCCAACATTAATTTTACTTTAATTTGAGATGCTCATTTAAATGAATTGTAAAATTATATTTATATATTATTTATATATATTTACACATTAGCATTTATATTTTATACATCTGTATTTTGATCTATTTTAATTGTTAGTGTGATAGGTACTTGGACATGTTTTAATGTTGTTGATTGTTAAACAGTATGTGTAGGGACTGCAGGTGGAAATTAGCTACAATCTGGCATGTAGCAACTCTTCTCTTTTTGAGATGAATGTATTTTTATGCATGGTCATTGTTCAATAAAGATATATAAAACATGAACATAATGATAATAGCCTACATTACATGAGAGTCACGAACTGGATATATAAAAATAAACTGAATCGTCACTGAGGTTAAAACATGGGTTTCCTGCTGAGGGCAGTAATGATCACAGCTGTTTTTAAAGGCGAAGAAGAAGAAGAAGCGCGGTGACGTAGTTTGCTCTGCGACACAAACACCGTTATTTTTAATACATCCCTGTTAGCATGTAGCAGCTGTACAAGCGACTTTTCTGAATTGTTTTACTGTCTACGATATTTAAACGATAATGAGAGGTTTACCGACGACCCAGTGAGTGGTACCTATTTTATTTCTGCAGAGGGGAGACGTTTAGAGAGTGTCATACTTAGCTAATGTACTACAAGTGCCTAGTTACTCTGCTTGTGTAGAAATATTCAGCTATAGCTACCGTTAGCTATACTTGGTGATGAGCTAACTTGACTTCTGACCCTTGGGGTGTTTTACTCGTGTGTTTCAGATGATGATGTGACACCCAGCCTCGTCTCAGTCGGTGGTGTTGTGGAGCAGTGCATGCCCCGGCCGCAGGAGGTGGAGCAGGGCAGGTGGAGGGTCTGAGCTCTGTTGTCCGGGATGGACGCCTGGACCCCCAATCCCCGAGCCAAGCCTTTCATCCCACGCCAGCAAAGAAGCTTGTACCTCACCTGGAAATACAAGCTGACCAACAAGAGGGCGGTTCGTCGGTTCTGTCAGGTAAGTTAGAAACAACTGTCTGTCCACATGGAGGTGTGTCAAAGATGGTCTTGGTTTGTGTTGCAGGCAACCTTGAACAAAATGCAAACTCTTTGATACAAACACATTAAATACCTACTGGTGTTAGGTTTACAAAAAACAGAGGTGGAAGAAGTACTCCTTTCGTGTACTAAAGTAGAAATACAAAAGTGTAGGGAAGGGATACTCTGTTACAAAAAAAGTCCTGCATTGCAAATGTTACTTAAGTAAAGGTAGAAAAGTATGATCAACAAAACATACTTTAAGTACCACAAGTAAAAGTACTCATTATGCAGATTGGCACATTCCAAAATAATATTTGTTATGTTTTGATTATAATTATTGATGCATTAATAGGTTTATTAAAGCTGGGATAGGTGGAGCTACTTCGAATTACTTTGCATACTGCAGGGAAGCCTGTAGATGTTACTCCTGGTGTAACTCAAGTCTTAAAATTATACAGTAATTGAGTACATTTACTTAGTTGTTTTACAAAGATGAAAACAACTCAAATAGGGTAGTTATGCTTCTTCACCAAAATACACTTGCTTACTCTTTTAATGGCTCAACTGTGTCTATAATGTTTGAATTTCCAAGTTCCTTTTGTAATTTATTCAGCTGGCAATGGCAGTCTAACATCTCATGCTCTCACAACAATGCACCCCATGCATGATTATATAAAAATATATCATGAAAGTTACAAATCAGAATCAGAGACACAGGATAGTGAGGTAGTTATAATGTAGGGATCAAATGTTATGCAATTAAAATGATACGTGTGGTGGAAAGTTATTGCAAAAATGATTCAAAGTTAATACAAGTATGTGCATAATTAGACCAACTACATGCCTATAAATAGAGAAAGAGTATATTAAAGTAGACAATATAAAGGTTTAAAAAAATGGATACTCTCCTCAGGAAATGTTGCTTTATCTTTTTAAAGTAAAAGTTGTTTCGAGACCGGCTACGAAATATGAAAAGAGAGCTTGTTGAGTGTTTTGTGCTTAATTAAAAAAACAAAGAGCAGCAACAGGGTGTACTCTTTCTCTCTCCTCGCAGAATGAGTGTATTCTTATAATAATGGGAACACCGGGCCCAGGTATTCCCAGTAAACAACCGCACCTACTGGCATCTGCATCACAAAACACAAAGACAAGCAGCCAGAGCAGCAGCCAGCAAAGGGCGAGGTCACCACAGTTGCAGAACTCATGCCAACTTGTCCTTCATCAATATTGGTTTATCTGACATTTCTTGAGGACTTTACAAAAAGTCAGTTAGAAAAAAAAGTCACAACATTTGGTTTTTCAAGAGGATAAGGTGGAGAAAGACTATGAGAGAGAGATGCAACAATCAGATTTTCAGCTGTGGCCCTAAGAAAGCCTTGACTAGAAAACACATGTATTTGTCCCCCTTTCACAGGCTGGTGCTGTGCTGTTTCTGCTGATTACTGTCATAGTCAACATTAAACTCATCTTGGACACCAGAAGAGTCGCCAGTGAAGATGCAGCAGCTCAAGAATATGGTGAGAATCCTGTCCAGTGTTTATTCTGTTTCCATCTGGGTTTGTTTCTATTTAACACAAGCACTGTAGCCTAAAATAGGAATGTGGCACTCATTATAGTCATGAGAACACAAGTGTAAGGACAATCGGCTAATGCATGTTTATTTGATCAGTCCATTAGCTTTTCTTTCCAAAGTTTTACATACTTAAATGTCCAATTATTTAAATAGGCTCCCATTGATAGTAGACATCCGTGTCCTGTACTCTATAGGCCTGTTTCTAGAAATATAGTCTCACCCCTCAAGATTCGGTCTGACGATAAGTTCTAGTCTTTTTCTGAATATTTTCAATCTTTGAAAACTAAGACCCCATTTACACGGGAACGTTTGCGTTTACGCACCGTATGCGTTTTCAAAAAAGTCTTTCGTTCATACGCATTCGATTCATTAACGTGTCCGTTCACACCATGCTGGAAACGCTGTAGTACATATGCCAGGCCTGTAAGTGGCTCTGCTGCCGCCACAAAATACACCAAAAGCAGCGAAGAAGACCCCGGAGCATGGTTGCCATGGTTGCCCTTCTGTTTATCCTCCGCGGTGGACGGAGTGCGCTCCTGCTGTAAATCTCTCCAGTAGTCCACCAGCAGATGAAAAACACCCACCTCTCCGCCTCTTCCAAGGGACGAGGGAACCATGTGGCAGAGTTTCCGTTAACAAAAAATGTTCGCCGGTCAACATGTCCGTTAAAGTTTAAATCTTCCGGACAAAATTAGAAAAGTGCCGGTCAGAGGTCTTCTTTGTTATTCATTGAGCTTTAAAACAAATTGATAACGATTCTATATAATAATATAAGAATAATAAACGGAGCCTCTCTTTTCCTCCCCCTCTTCTGACAGCCCAGCAGCTGATCTCTGAGCAGGAGACGTGGGGAGAGGGAGACGTGGGGAGAGGGAGACGTGGCTATTTCATCGTTATCAGAAAATGATCGTATACAGGCAATTACACAGAGCCGTTTGCCCCCCCAGAGCGTTCCGTTTGCAGATCTATCCGCCTTGGGACCCGTTATCGTTTGCGGGGTTCGTTTCTATCGTTTTGTTACGGCCTCGTGTGAACGAAAGGGCTATACGCAGGAGAAACTATGCGGATACAACCCGGATCGTCCTCGTGTAAACGGGGTCTAAAGGATGTCCACCTTAATTTGCTCTCTAGAAGTCCAGAGTTTGAAGAGTGAGGTGTCTTAATATGAGGCTGCAAAGGTGGAGTTATGTGCGTGTTGATCTTTTGAGTAAAGGATAATAGAGGGTTCAATGTACAGTCTGTTATTCATAGCAGTGGTCCGCTTTTAAAAAATAACAGGTGATTGAATGCCGTAATTAACCAATCAGAATTGAGTATTCTACAAACCTTTTTCTGGTTTTCAAAGTCTTTTATTGAGGGCAAAACTTGGAGCCTCCTTGCTGATGTGTGAGACATCAACGTGTAGCTTTTTGAAGCACTGCTTTCTATGTCTCGCATCTTGAATGTATGGCTACATTGTAGACAAGCTAATCCTAGTCCTATGCTCCTTTTTTAGAGGACATTGTTCCCAACATGGAGACGCCACGCAGGCCGGCTAGTGGACGCAAAGTCCTGGACATTGAAGTGTACGCCAGCCGTTCCAAGGTCTACGTGGCAGTGGACGGCACCACAGTGAGTTCAAGTATTTTCATGACAAAAGTACATAACTGAAAAGATGTCCGACAGATAATATATCTATATTTTGCTCTTCTCCTGCAGGTGTTGGAGGATGATATGCGGGAGCAGGGCAGAGGCATCCATGTGATAGTTCTCAACCAGGCAACTGTAAGCACTGAGTTAGTTTTCTCTTAATGTTTAATTCACGCTCCTTCCATTTTAATCCAAAAAAATATCTACGCAAATGAGGCATTGTGGTGGACTCAACAATAAATCCTTGTTTGCTAGATTCTCTTAAAAATTCAAACCATAATGATTTAAATAAAACTTTTAAGTACATTTAAAACAATATTCAAAAATATATTTTCTTTTCGATTTGGCTAATCATGCCACAATTGCAAAATCGTCAACTTCTCCTTTCCCATTTCTCACTTTATTTGACAATGTGCTCTACGATCGAAAATCAGGCACTGAATTAAACAATATTATGCATTCTGTTGCAAATAAAGGGAATTGTTTTCCCTAATATAAGGAATTACAGCCAAATAAGAATATATTTTTTATGTAATGTCAAATCAGAAAGATCCGAAAAGTCCATCACTGTGTTTTTGTCTCAGGGCCATGTGATGGCCAAGAGGATATTCGACACCTACTCCCCCCACGAGGATGATGCCATGATCCTCTTCCTCAACATGGTGACCCGGGGCCGAGTCCTCATCTTCACCATAAAGGTCAGTCACTGTCTCCATGATCAGATAGCAGTTATTCCTGTGATGTTCATACAGGCATGTCTCATCGTGTTTTTGTCTGCAGGATGAAGGCACGTTCCACCTGAAGGATGCTGCTAAGAACCTGCTGAAGACTCTGGGCAGCCAGGTGTCCCTCAACCTCAGCTGGAGGGACATGTGGACACTGGTGGTGAAGAAAGGAGGTAGAGGAGCACCCTTTCGCTTTACAAGTAGAACTAACTCAGGGGTTTTAAAATGTTTTCACTTGGGCCTCATACATAAAATATACAAAAGGCTGGGCCACTCCCTAGAGGTGAGATATATTGCCTCATAAATTCAGTTACAAGATAGCAAAAAGAAATACAATGTAGGTAAACATATGCTTGATACTTGAATATGCTTTAAGAAAATAGAACAGCCTAGAAGATCACAGCTTTTCATAGGGTTTTCATTATTTTATTTAAGTTATTGGGCTTTTTTTTTTAATGAACTAGGATTTGTTAGAAAAAACTTCAACTTTAATTGACTGAATTTATTTGAAAAGTGGGCTTATTAACACATGAATCCTACTGTGTAATATATTTGTACATATATATTTAAGATATACAATATAAGACAAGCACACGTTTCAGGTGTGGGCTATATTCCAATATACTTTTAGAATTTGCTGAGGGCCAATCAAAAATGGACAATGGGCCGCAGTTGGCCCCCAGGCCGTAGTTTGGACATCCCTGACCTAACTCTTTCTATTGCCGTATAATTACCTCAAAACATTTTTGGGGTAGGTTGACATCCATTTTTTTCTTAGTTTTTCATAAAATCACTCATGTTGAATGGATTGTCTATGTGGTGATTTGTTATGTTGTTTATTCATGACGGAGAGTGATCCCTCCCCCTTTGGGAGTGTTTCCTTGTGCACTGCAAGTATCTAAAGACAGATGGTGTCGTAAGCTGTGCAGTCTGAAAAGCACCCTGAGACTAATTCTATCTTCAGTTTTGAAATATTAGGCTCTATAAATATCCTTTTCGATTTATTCATTGTTGATCAACAACTGAATGTTTGTCCATAAATTCCAGACTTCACTGAAGTACTCTTTCTTCCAAAGCTGATATAAATAAGAGCTGAGTTAGGGTGTTGGTTGTTTTCAGATGCTGTGCTGATGCAGAAGTAAACCAGGGTTGGTTTTAATTGCCCTGAATGCATCGTTTTATTTAAATAATGTCCAGAAAATAATATAATGTTTTATATTTTTTCTAAAAACAATGCATCAAGAAGAGACATTTTGAGATTCCCTTTAGATTCTTTAAGTTTATTTTAGTTTTGGTTCAGATATTTGTCTTAATACAGTTGAGCTTCAGTGTTTCAGTTAAGCTTTAATGTTGTTTTATTTGACATCATTGAACATTATATTCCATGATGAATCGCTCCGGTTTACTACAACACTTTACATTGGTGCCTGTTTCATTTTTCACATTTACTCAATAAGAGTAAAACAAATAAAAATTGGTGAACACTGCTTCTCAATGACGCATACGCCAGAGATGTTCACAAGTCTTTTTTTGCAAGTCCAAGTCAAGTCTCAAGTCTTTGTGGGGTGAGACTTGATCAAGTCTCAAGTCACGAGTCCAAGTCAAGTCTCAAGTCTCTAAAAAAATAAAAGTCTCATGTCTCTTCTGGTTGTAATAAGCCTTCTATTGTCTGCTGCTATCCAGTCTGTTAAGAATACTGCACAGCTATATCTAAGAAATTCAAAGCATTTACTGTATTATTATCACTCCTATATCTATTAGCATACAGTATCAGTACTGATTAGTTGTTTGTTATATGATCACTTTAAACAGGCTATTGCAATGCAATATGAGGACAAACATCACACTTTAGCTAAATGCAAACAACTTATAAGCAAAACACTTCAGAATCAAAAATCAGTATCACAAATACTTTATTAATCCCCCGCAGGGAAACTGTGTTAAAAGTACTTAAAAGTAAACATTTGTTCTGTGCCATTTGTAACTAAAAAACTATTGCTGCAATATTATCTGAAATATACTGAACTGGTGATATTAAAACATGACCTGTTCCAAAAGAGATATCTACCATTAACACCATTTACCAGCCAAATGCTGGTAAATCATGCAAGTGGCTAACAATGGCAATCTATTGAGTGGCTGGTAACATTTCAACATTCACTAGGCTAGCCATTTGGCCAGTGGACAAAAATGTTAAAATTTGACCTCTGCAACCGTATTGTTTAATTACACTGGGTCTCTAATTACATCTTTTAAGTCTACTATAAATAAACATATTCCTCTATCCTCTCACTCAAACCCAGTGTAATGGTAACCTGATAAACCTGTAACATTAACGTTACGTGGTCAACAATAAACCTGTAACCTGCCTATAAACCGACAGATGTATTTATGTATGTGACTATGTATTTTTCTACGTTTAACGTTAGCCAGTAGATGGTGGCAGCGGAACGTAATGATTAACGTTACCGACCTTTTTTATGTCATGTCAAGAGTTGGATGTCAACGCCACTCAACGCAAACAAGTGTGACAAGCAAACATTCACTCATCTTTTCAAATATTCAGTTACAAAGCTAGTAGCAAGCTAAGTTAACATTATATAGCTGAAGCTGAGCTAAACATGTTTGCTAACCGTACATAGGCGTTAATGTGACTGACCTCTCCGGGTGAGTTTTCAAGTGCCTGATGAAATTTGACGTTGTTGCACCAGCATCCTTGATTTTAATATTGCAGACTTTGCAGTGTGCGCTCCTTTTGTTGGTGCCGCCGGCGTTTTGTTCGAAGTTTTTATAGTTGAACCTAATTACAAGCGGTACAGCTGCAGGTGTGCCGCCGGTCGCCATGGTGTTACCATGATGTTAATGTTAATGTTAAAGGTGGGGTAGATACGTTTGAGAAACCGGCTCGAGATACACTTTTTGTTATATTCCATGGAATGCTCTTAACATCCCGATAGCCAGCCCGGCTAAAGTAACTGGATGGCCTACCTGCCTGTCAGCCTTCCATCGGGGCACAAACTTATCTCATGCCCTCATTGGTCATGTGCGCGTTCGTGTGTGTTGGAGGAGGGGCTCTGTGAGGAAGTGGAAGATTTTCTCCGGTTATGTATTTTCAAATTCTAGCGATCTCGAGCCGGTTTCTCAAACTTACCTACCCCACCTTTAATACGCCAAAAATAGAAAACACAATGATTGTTCACGAGTCCCAAAACACGAGTCCGAAGTCTTTTGAGCAGGAGTCCAAGTCAAGTCGGAAGTCTCTGTGTGTGCGACTTAAGTGCGACTCGAGTCCGAGTCACAAACTCGAGTCCCCATCTCTGGCATACGCTCAACCACAACAAAGTGATCAATGTCTTCACAAAATCAGCAGCTTGTGTATGGCGGCACGCTCCATAACTGTGCCAATAACTGCCACCTGTCCTGGTTAGCTCACTTACCTAACCAGTTGCACAAAATACGCCACCCAGTGTTAACAAAAATAACAATATCAACATATACTTATGATAATGGATGCAACAGAGAATAACAACTCGGGGTTAAGGGGACGGGATGACTATTTAGTTAGATTTCAAAATGCATTTAATTATCACATTTTGTTATGATTTTACATGTTCTGACCTCCTTACTGTGTTGGCGGTTCCAGGTCAGGTGTATGGAGAGAAGCACTCAAAGTCTCCAGCTCTGTCCACCTGGGGGGACCCGGTGCTGCTGAAGACTGAGGTGCAGCTCACTGCCTCTGAAGGTAACACACACTTCTAGTCTGACTATGTCTTGTTAATGCAAAGCTTCTTTAAGGCCAAAACCTGACCAAACCAAAAAGACTAGTGATGACTAAGTACCTGTAATCCCCCGTCCTTGCAGAGGCAGAGTGCCACTGGGCCGACACGGAGCTGAACAGGAGGAGGAAGCTCTTCTGCAGCAAGGTGGAAGGATACGGCAGCATCTGCAGCTGCAAAGACCCGGCGCCCATCGAGTTCAGCCCTGACCCCGTAAGACACGCACTGGACTCTTACTTTTCTGTGTTGCATGCTTTTTTCATTGTTCTGTACTTAATTAAGAATAGCTGAAGAGTTTAACAAGTAAGCAGAGTTGAGACTATTGTTTAACATAATTTCATAAAAAGCATATTTTAGGAATAGTTCTCTTAAATGTATTTACTTTTTGGCTATATATAGGCTACAGGGGGGGCAGAGGAGTGAGTATTGTTACTATTTCACAGAGCTTCTCTTCCTTTTTTCTCTCTTCCTGGTGAACGTGATATTAATCTTATCATTTAATTTTCTGCAGGGAAGCCAATGGGCATATTTTCACAAAATATAGAGCTATTGCTTGCAATTCAATTAATGTGAATCATTGTAAAATCGCTGCGTGTAAACATGGATGTATAAACGGTATATACGGGTTAGTGCGTTGGTGTTCGGATCAGGGGAGCACAGGTTCAATCCCCACTGCAGTCAGCATGTTGTTGTGTCCCTGGGCAAGACACTTCACCCCAAATTGCTCCTGAGGAGATTGCCCACAGTATTGAGTGTATAGATTGCTTTGGGTAAAAGTGTCTAACAAGTGACATGTAATGTTAAAACATTTTTACAAAAGTATCAGTGGTTGCGTTTTAGGGTCGTACAAATTCAGTCAAAGCCAATCATTTTGTGAAAGTTCAGCACACATGAGCACATATTACAGTTTAAAAGAGCAAAATACAATCTGAGCTAACATACAGTTAGCACTATTTTATGCACATATAGGTTCACCTACTGAATTCCAAGGAAACTTAAGAACCATAAATAGGAATAGATTCACACTTAAAGTATTAGCCTACAGTCCAAAGATGAAATACAATCTGATCTATTTTCATCAAACACAATATGCTGTTTTTTTTTTTAGTAGCACTGTAATCTTGCTGGTAATCCTCAATTTTCAGAAATGTACCAGTAATCTGATTGTCTTGTTCTTTTTAACCATAAGGGAATACAGTTAATTGTTTTCTATCCTGATTGCATAATCGCGTTTGATACACCACAAGGTGAGGTGTTGTAGAGGTGTTTCCCTGAAGCTGAGTCAATTTGGGGGGGGGGGGGGGGGGGGGGGGGGGGGGGGGTGGCTCAGGATGTTTATTTAATAGACCTCCCAGGTAGGAATAAGCCTCATTTAGCTCTCCTTTCAGCGATCCTCCCACAGCAGAAAGATAAGTGTGTCTCCCCATTAAGAGAGATGCTGCAGGCATTTCCACACGGACACATCTCACTGAATATTTATATCTCGTTCTTTTCTCATGTGTTTTCATAAATGACATGTAAGGGAGCTCTATTCATTTATTTTTCATGACACAACCGTCACTGCATCCTGTCACTATGTCAGTGCAGTGACTGCGTCCCAAAAATAAACAAGTTTTAGCAGACTCCTCTTATGCGCTTCACTTGCCACCAACTCCCTGTTACTGGTCTTTGTGAATTGGATGGTTTTTGCGAAGAAGCTCATTTGCATAGAAAGGAGCCAATTTCACTACAAATGTATGCGTATCCCCTAAGAAGTGCATATTGCGCAGGGGAAGAATAGTGCAGTTACTGTATGAATGCTATTCACCCTTTGCTGGTGCTTTGAGAATTACAACGTTTTTTTTGGTCTTATTGTTGTTACAGGTTTAGTGGATGTAAAAGTCGCACAATCCTTTTGTGAATTCTCTGTGTTCCAATCTGTCGAAATGACAGGCAGCTTTTAAATCTTTCCATAAGAAACTACTAATTATGTCTAATAAACAGCCCTATTATGCTTTTTGGGGGTTTCCCTTTCCTCTACTGTGTTATATAGGTTTTTTTTGCATGTAAATAGGCGCATTCACACCGCAGTACTTTTCCCACAAAGGTTCATGAGAACTTAGTTCATGTGAACTCTTTTGTCGCGTTCACACCAAAAAGAGCCGGTACTAAAATTAGTTCATGAGAACCTTTTCTCCCCCTTTTCCGTCCCTGCTAGAGAGCAGCGACTTTTGTGGGAGAAAAAGGTTCCTATTTCTGATTGGCTGGGCGGATTGCAAACCACGCCCCGTAAAACTCCCAAAGTTTTGTGAAGCCGCCATTTTATTATCCTTGCATTAGCATTAGCATTAGCCCAGCGCAGAAACGGAGAGAGACTAACTTATGGCAACACAAAATAAAATATGGGAGCGGTGGAGATGAGGAGGTGTCGGTGTTCTGGCGATTTACTCGGAAGGCTTCAGTAGAAGCTGCTGGGAGTCCCAGCAGCTTCTACTGAAGCCAGTCCCCAACTCCGGGGACTTCCGGCCGGGACTTTGGGCGGCAGTATACGCCGTGAAGTGGTTTGCGGCCTGCCAGTAAACCCAAAGCAGAAGAAGAAGAAGTGACGTCAGCGGCTTCATTTGCCTAATCCTCCCCCAGGGACTTTTTCCAGTGTGAACGCGATCTGTACTTAGTTCATGAGAACTAAAGAGTTCTCATGAGCTAAGTTCTCATGAACCTTTGTGGGTAAAGTACTGCGGTGTGAATGCGCCTAATGGTCTGCAAAGGCTAAAATCCCCAAATTCACGCCAGAGTTTTTCTCTCACACACACTCCTTTGTTTACTTCAGTAACATAGTTACATCATTATGTATGTAACACTCGCGCTTCTATTGGCTAGGGCTCCAACATATCGTAAGTGAAAGGCTAAGGGGCCTGACATCTCTAAGCGGTTGACCAATCACAACAGAGCCGGCCAGCTAACCAATCAGAGCAGACTGGGCTCTGGTTTCAGACAAAGGGTGAAAAGAGGTGCTGCAGCACAGGCAGAATGAGAAAAATAAAGAGCTTTTTGAACATTAAAGCATGGAGACATGTCACAGAAGAGACAGAAAATACAAATATTAAACCTAAAAATCTGCATAGAGCCCTTTTAAAAAAAAAGTAAAACAGGAAAATTACCATCGTCTCCCCTAAGATTGTATAAAATACCTTAACATATAAAGCGCTTATGTTTTATGTATCGTCTATATGTCTTTTCACAAGGGTTTGAACACAGCTAAGTCTTAATATTTAGCTGTGTACTAGATGTGTATTATATAATTTGAAGTCACAGTTATTTCACTCTACACGCTATTGTCAAAATAATACTCATCGCTTCACAGTGTCCCACATTATTTCACTCCCTATAATTGTCTGTCTCCAGCTGTCCAACAATAACGTCTTCAGTGTCCCAGTGGCCGTCATAGCAGGGAACAGACCCAACTACCTCTACAGGTAATATCTGAAAAATAACCATGTAACCAATTGAAAAGTATTATAATGCTGTTTCCTGTTCTATGAAATGCAGCAGAAACAGCTAATTGCTCCAAAAGAGTTATGATTTATGATTTAGATTTTCAAACAAACAGAATATTTAGGATTTTTGATGTTTACCTGTCATCAATAAAGGATTACAATTTTTTTTCTTTGGTATTTCATTAATAAACTGCATTTCAGCAAGAGTTTTTCATGAAGATAAACGAGTCCTGCAGACAGTGAGCATTCCGAGATGTAAATGACTCGGTGCTCTAGTTGGCATTTTGAATTTATTTTACACAATATAACCTCAGTTTAAAACAGAGTAATGGCTGCAATAAGCCTCTTTTGTGGAAGCACAATTAAGAACGATGGCAGCTCCTTCCCTCAGAAATACATTTGGCATTAATAAAAGGGGAAATTAGAATCAAGCTGTCCTCCCTTTGTCAAATTGGTACAAATCACGTTGTCTTACAAAAAGTAAATTGCACCCATTGTAAGAGAATATTTTCATCTGATCTGTTTATAGAGTTTCTTATTGTTTTATAGAATCTGTGATACTGCAAACATCTGCTTGTAGTCAGTCAGAGACTCCTCTGTAGGTTGAGGTCACAGGTCAAACGCTTCTCCTATGTCCGTGGGGGGTTGACCTGGCAGCATCTCTTTGAGACAAGCAGACCATTGTCTCGCATCGGCTATTGATTATACGCGGGCTTTCTGGGAGCCCGCCTCTCCTCGTGTTGGTTAGATGTTTTGTGTCTTTTGGGTCAGAGATTACCTTGGTGGAGCACAAGGACAGTGGTGAAACTAGGATGATCTCCCGGCCGTATGTAATTGTCTGTCTCTCAATAAATATCAGTGTATTGACAGGCGAATCCAGTTTCCCTCATTTGATGATGCGCTCAACATTGCTGCAAAGAAGTTTTTACTTCACACCCATTTGTCCCTTGTGCCTAAAACAAAGTTACTAGAGCTAATTATCGTCTGTTTTCAGGATGCTGAGGTCGCTGCTTTCAGCTCACGGCGTCAACCCGCTGATGATAACGGTCTTCATTGATGGATATTATGAGGTACCAGGTTTTTCTTTTCCTCCTTTATTTCCAACATAACCTACGGTATTGATACTGGTCATAACACAGTATAAATGCAAATATTATGGTACTTTTAGTAAACATTTTAAACACTTGGTGTTATACTGTAGGCAATATTAAACAGATATAAAAGTGTTGATACAATATGTGAGTTTCGGTACTGATACATAAATTATGCTTGATTTGACAACTTACTTTTCGAATTAAAGTGGACCTATCATGCTATATTTGAAACATATATGTGACCTGCTCTATCGAAATCAGTCGCATTGACCCGAAGACACATTTTGAGTTGTATACAATGTTGGGAAGAGGAGATTCCTAGCTTTCTAATGATATCTGGATTGTTGTTGTACTCCAAATATTAAGCAAAATATGTCACATTATATAATGAGTCATCATTTTGAGAAAAAGGCCTTTAAAGTTTCCTCTTCTCTGGAATCCATCGATCTGATTGATTATCAGCGGAGCAAATGATCAAAATACTATGGAGGGAAGATATTTTCGTTTGGATTACTGGTCTGGGGGAAGCTCGCGAGTGTGTGTGTGTGTGTGTTTGTCTAATTTTGCGTTGGTGTGTATTGTGTTTGTTTCCCGGGGAAAACCCTCACGAGAAACACCGGCTGTTGTTACGCCTGCTGTGACGTCAAGTAGGGCTGTACCCGAATATCCGAATATTCGTTCGTTGGAGTACTATTCGGGTTTCAATTTCGTTATTGGTTTTTTTTCTTGAATTTATTGAAATCTCCAATATCAACGGAAGAGCTTGTTCGGGGGGTGCTAACACTTAACCATAAACGTTATCGTTTACTTTCTCTGCCTTTATATGTAGATATTACTTTTCTCCGTTAATCTCCGTCACGTGGTTTCCAAAGCAACAACAACTTCCTGTCAACAGCGCTATCTCTCCTTCAAAATAAAAGCATGTCCATAAATAGGAAGCCAAGACAAATTACACTTAAGACATATACAACTGCAACGAAAGTAACAAACACAATGCGATATCCTTTTCAATTTCAAAGAACACAAATTGGGTTAATAACTATAAAACAACAATACTGTAGAATAACAAAATGAATGCCGTGAATACACAGACATACACGTGTTGAAGCGGTTCGCTGCTGATTACTACGCGCCCCCCTGAAAACACCAGAACCCCGGGAAAATATTTTTTTACGCAAATCCACGTTTATTTTGAAATGAGCCGTTACGACTTCCGACTGATTTGGATAGAGCGGGTCACATATTGTAGGGCCATACCTATATAAAACATGCCTGTGAAGTTTTTTTTTCAAAATACCAAACAGAACATGCATTTTAGCCATGCCTCATTTCGCTTTATTTGCTGTATTCCAGCCCTGTTTTTGCAAGGGCTGATTCTGCTTTTGTGGCAGACTACAGCGTCATTTACAGGCCTGGCATATGTACTACAGCGTCTCCAGCGCTTTCGAGCGTTCTCTCATTCCCCTGATAGGTGGAGAGTTGCCCATATAGGCGGAGCACCCCTTTTCTGACGTCAGAAAAATTCAAATAATAATCAGCTCCGTTGCAGCCCCGTTTTTAGAGATTTGGGTATGGAGGAAAAGAGAGGGTTGTGTTTTCTGACACTTGGTGAGTTCCCTGACACACCGGGGACACATATTCATGTATAAAAGATGTACAAAAGTGTATTTTGCACGATAGGTCCCCTTTTTAAGTTAAGTTTGAACTTAAAAAGGTCAAAAACGGGCAAAATGTTCATTCAAATCAGGAAATCAAATCAACTTTTTAGTATACGACTATGTTTGAGACTCTGAAGTATAGTCTTATTTCTATTTCCACCATATATTGGTTCATTATTCAGTAGCAGCCATGTGGGCTGTATTCAGGGTTTGTCCAGGTGCTAGAAATCCTTGACAAACAATGTATTGTGACGTTTAAAAGGTTTGAAAAGTGCTTGGATTTTAGAACAAAGTGCTCCTTATCGTGGAGAGTAAAGTAGAGTTTTGACTTTCATTAGACATTCTTCTGTAAAATACTGTCACAAAACAACATTTTGGTTGTTTTAAGCACAATAACATCTCATTTAATTTGATAAGGCATTGAAATAATTAGTTTATTGTACGTAATTAATTTTCAAATGTCTTTTTTTCTCTAGCTGTGAGATGCTGGAAAACATTGTTGAAAAACAAAACACTATGTTTTTGTTTGCCTTACAGTTCCACTATATCCACCTGGGGGCTTGATGAAGCGCTCCAGCACTCATATCTTTTTGTTTGTGTTTTCCACCCAGGAACCCATGGATGTGGTAGAGTTGTTTGGACTGAAGGGAGTTCAGCACACGCCCATCAGCATCAAGAATGCCAGAGTGTCCCAGGTAACAGTTGGCACCCTATTTAAGGGTTAAAACATACTGTATCTCATCTCACAGATTTTCAAGTAAAAATTAAAACTATAATCCTATTAAAACGTTTTGCTTGTATTGTGTGAAACATTGCTTTCGGTTACAGCACTACAAGGCGAGTCTTACTGCAACCTTCAACCTTCACCCTGTAAGTACTCTGGTTTCCTTTTCCTCAAACAAACAAAGACGAGTTATTCTATTCGATGAATCAGCAATTAGATGTGGGCTTTTTCCATCAAAAACAGCCTTTAAAAATGTTTTATTGGTCAGTTTATTCATTTATCACAACTGGCAGTTAACATTAAGCTTGGGAATTAATACAGTGGATTTCCCATTTCATTACTGACCCAGTTTTTATACATTTTATTCTCATCAGGAAGCCAACTATGCCATCGTCATAGAAGAAGACCTGGATCTCTCCATCGACTTCTTCAGGTACGTCCTCCAGAATGCTCAAACTCTGAGTAATTATACACGTGAGTAGAGTGGAAATAATAAGTGAACTTATCAATGAATTCATGTTTCAAAATAGTTATTGGCAACTATTACTATTATCTCTTAATTCACTCTCAAGCTAAAACACCAAACATTTGCACGTGCAGCATCTCAAATGAGATTAAATAAATGTGTTTAGAATCTCCAGCTAATTGATATAAATAGTTGATATGCATTCCTGTCACTTCATTAAACCTCTTAATTGAACCTTGCTTTTGTGTCTTCTGTACTGTTGATGGGTGAGAAGAATATCTAAAATAAATGAAAAGAAGAAGATTTTAATTTTCAGTTAATTGCACATTTCAAATCTAATAACTGTAAGGTGGCTAGAGGTATTTTTTTGATATTGTAAACAGATGTTTTTTGACAGATATTAACATGAACTCTGTTTTGTCCCCGTCCCTTCCACTCATGATGATTATGATTAAAATCCAAAATTAACTGAATGTAGAGAACAAAACAGCTGTTCACTGGAGCTATTCCCAATTACTTCATTTGACATTAAAATAGGTTTATGCTTATTTTTATTTATTTTGTATGCACATAAGCTATGATTAAAATTGCCATCATGTTGAAGAACATGTTCTGTACCTCACAGCATCAGCACAGCAGACCCTCTCAGCTGCCATAGTGGCCACTAGGTGGCAGTAGATCCAAAGTGTTGAAGCATATTTAAACAGTGTTAGAAACCCGGCCTTCCTTTGTTGGACACTGGGCTTTGAACTGTGTGTTTTGGGCTCTAAAAGCTCCAGCTCCACTCCTGGGCTAACCGGCCCGTTTGATGCACCGACTTCAAACTGCTGAGAAGCACTCGCAGCCGTCATCTCACTTCATTCTGCTCTCTGATACGTGCTTCAGGCTCGCTGTTACGGAGCAGTGAAAACCCTCCTGTCAACAAAGACAAGCTTTCTGTTACTCTATGCTTACTGCTATAAAGAGTCCTAACAACGTCCTAAATTCAAAAAAATTAAAATGTAAAACGATAGAATTATAGAATTGTCTTGTATTAGAATTCATAATTGATTTATGATTTCTTCAAGATTAAGCAAATGTAATGAGAAATCAAACATCATATAATATTATTTTAGACTGAAAGCCAGATATGTTCACCTAATGTAAACCCCATACACACGAGAGTTTGAACACACTGACCTCCAGTCAGGTTCAATACCTGCCAACAAATAAATCATTTTTTAAAAACTTTTCTTTCATTGAAAATGTATATTAAATTGTATATGTTCAGAATAAAACACTGACAGTTAAAGAATTGGCAAGTGCACAAAGTTATAGGACCTTGTCAAACTCTGACTCAAACCCATCCTAACAATAAAAGATTACTGGAAAAAATCCAACTTTATCTAACTTTAGATTTATTTTCCCAGAAGAAAACGGGTGCAGCAGACCTAATGTACTTCAACACTATGTAATGCGTAGGCCATTTTTTAAATACTGTTTTGAGAGCCAATTTAAATCGCCCAACAAACAAGAAATGTGTGAAAATGTGATCAACTACCCCTAACCGGAAACAAAAAGCTACTTTAATGGTAATTGTTATGGAGCAGCTTTATACATATAGCATACTCGTCAATTTACTAATAAAACAACATGAAGTAGTATTTGAAATGTACTGTCTTGTGCAACAAGGCATATTTATTATGTTTTGTCATTTGTAATACTGATGTAGCTACTAATGTCTGTCCTAATATTGCTCCTCTGTTTCCCCTTTAGTTTTCTGAGTCAGACGGTTCACCTGCTAGATGAGGATGACAGTCTGTACTGCATCTCAGCCTGGAACGACCAGGTGAGTCCTGGCTGCTCCACCTGCTCACCCTCTTCCTGCCCCTCCTCTTAAAGCTCCAGCTAAACTCAAATCCACCTCATTTTTAGCCGGCCCTCATATTTATTTATGTTCTCGATACATTATTGGCCTGTCAAATGTATGAACTTGCATCAAAGAAGCATTCTAGCAGTGATGCTTATTAAGTATCTGTGAGCTCCATGTCTACTGCAAAGTTTTTATATAATTTTTTTTAGTTTTTTTAGTTCTAGAAGGCTAAGCTGCACGGACATGAGAACCCCAATGCCTGATTAACAATGTTTTTTTCTATTTTGGAAAATGTTCCCAGACAACCTTTGACTTTCATATTCAGGCCAATGAAACAGGGGTTGGCTGTATGCTAGCCTACTTGTAAAATTGAGCAGGCATCCATTTTGCTTGACTAAATGCTACCATGGCTAAGCAATTTGTAACGTAAAGGCTATATTCTGGACCGAATATTTGTTTTTTTCCAAATAAACGCTTGCTAATAACTACGGCCATTAGTTACTTAACTGTGTACAAATCTGTAAGGACTTTCCACTGTTTACATAATATAACTTATTTTCTTCCCGCACATTCTGCTTTACACATAGCCCAGTTCAGACAGCCAAAGGCATATTGACTTTCAATAACTGATTATCCTTTTGATGCATATGTGTGTCTCGTTACCTGTTTTCGGCTGCGTAACTGACATCTGTACATCTCTGGAGGAGATAGGATTGTTTGGACTCAACAAAAGAACATGTGATGAGGAGATCTATCAGTTCTCTTTTAACCCCAGGGTGTAACTCAACATGATCCACAGTGTAAGGAGACACCGCAGGATCTGGTTTTATTGTTCTGTGCTCCTAAATATAGAACATCAAAGCACTTTATCTTGTTTTTCTCTCCTTTTTTAATGTTCTTTCTGCCTCAATGTGGCCTCATTATTTTCCTACCCACTGATTGACCTGCAGGAAGGCTTGATGCCCACAGAGAAGTTGCATATGTGACAGCTTTTGTTGTTGTTGTTCAGGGCTATGAGCACACAGCAGAAGACCCCGCCCTGCTCTACAGAGTGGAGAGCATGCCCGGCCTGGGCTGGGTGCTAAAGAAGAGCCTCTACAAGGACGAGCTGGAGCCCAAGTGGCCGACCCCTGAGAAGGTGCAAGATTTCTGAACCCTATCTGGTGCTTTTGCATGTTTTCTTCATCTGTTACCAGTTATGGTTCCTTTGAAAATGACTATACTGTATCTCAGTTATTTAGTCAATTAAGGATTAGTCTATTGACGTTTGCAGACAATGTTAGACATGAGTAGATACTAGGTAATGAAGAAAGTAGAATATTGAGGAGCTAAATAGCCATATGAGCAAACCAGAGCTCAAAGAAAGATGGGGACACTTTTTGAAATGGTCGGAATGTGTGTGTAAGGTTTGAATTTTAAGGCGTAAGGAAGTGCAGAAACCACCTGCATTGCCCTTCCATGTGCCTGAGAACTCTCTGTGTGTGTTTTCTCTTGTAGCTGTGGGATTGGGACATGTGGATGCGAATGCCTGAGCAGAGGAAAGGCAGAGAGTGCGTCATCCCCGATGTGTCCCGCTCCTACCATTTTGGAATCATCGGCCTCAACATGAATGGATATTTCCACGTAAGATCTCAGAGAAACGTTATTATATTTCTTTAATGTAAATAATAAAGCTCTGTAATATACGTTAAAGCTGTAACCCAGGGTGAAACAATATAGCATTGAAGTCTTATATAAGGCCATTTATTTTCCTGCTGTCATACTTTTTTTGTAATTGACTTGAATAGTCCTGTAGACAACAAAATATTCTGTTGAGACGTGTTTTTTCTTAATCTTCAAGGTGAAACACTATTTGATGATCTATAATTAATGTCTATTTCTGTCTCACAGGAGGTGTATTTCAAGAAACACAAGTTCAACACTGTTCCCAACGTGCAGCTGAAGAATGTTTACAGGTTTGTAAACTCCGATTTTGAGATTTCCTATCACTGGTTTTATGCTTTTCATATCATGAGTCCTTTTGTGGAAAATAATTATGCAACACAGTCACAGTCTTGGTGTTCTTTACAGCTTAAAGAAGGATGCGTATGAAGTGGAGATCCTGAACCTGCTGAAGTGAGTGTGATACACACTGAGCCTGTAGGTGATTTAGATTACATTAAGAACGTGTGTGCGTGTGTGTGTGCGTGTGTGTGTGTGTGTGTGTGTGTGTGTGTGTGTGTGTGTGTGTGTGTGTGTGTGTGTGTGGTGTGTGTGTGTGTGTGTGTGTGTGTGTGTGTGTGTGTGTGTGTGTGTGTGTGTGTGTGTGTGTGTGTGTGTGTGTGTGTGTGTGTGTGTGTGTGTGTGTGTGTGTGTGTGTGTGTGTGTGTGTGTGTGTGTGTGTGTGTGGTGTGTGTGTGTGTGTGTGTGTGTGTGTGTGTGTGTGTGTGTGTGTGTGTGTGTGTGTGTGTGTGTGTGTGTGTGTGGTGTGTGTGTGTGTGTGTGTGTGTGTGTGTGTGTGTGTGTGTGTGTGTGTGTGTGTGTGTGTGTGTGTGTGTGTGTGTGGTGTGTGTGTGTGTGTGTGTGTGTGTGTGTGTGTGTGTGTGTGTGTGTGTGTGTGTGTGTCCAGGGAAGCAGAGGTGCTGGACCACAGCAAGAACCCGTGTGAGGACTCGTTCCTTCCAGACACTGAGGGGAAGACCTACGTCATGTTCATTAAGATGGAGACGGAGATAGACACCTCCACATGGACAGAGCTCGCCAAGGTACTCAGTCAGAGCTGGAACATGGCTGGTGGACTTTTAATTGGTCCATGTCAATTGTTAATAGAAACGATTAACCACCTGTTCCCAAATCCTACCATCAGTTTTTCCATTGATGTCCTACCTTTCAGACAGTCCCTGAATTCAGTAAAATATATTTTATTTGTTTTAAAGGTCACCTGTTGTGCAAATCCACTTGTTCATGTATTTTACAATAAACATGTGTCCTCTCTGTGTAAAAAGATTCTGAAAGTTTCAGGAAAAAAGATTCTCTCTCTTTTTGTGATCCATTGATCAGATTTTGGCCACTTTGTGAATGTAAATGTTTTTTTCGCTTTGTATAATATTTGTATCTGTATCCTTTCACATCAAACACCTAAGTTAGGTTTATATTCCTGTGATTTATTTTTTGAATTTGATAGATTTTGTTGATCAGATCAGAAATCAGAAACAGGTTTATTTGACTAGGTGTCGTCATACATAAAAGTAAAACAACAATTAAAACAGAGTACTAGAAAAAATGGAATGGAATAAAATACGGAATAAAAATACAAATCGGCAGTAATAAGAAAAGAAAACACATATTGTTGTACATAGTGTGCATTAATGTAATGCATAGAGTCTATGTTGTGGCTGAGGTAAAGTGTCTTTGCCGGGGCCAGGCCTTGTTTAAGAGGCCGGTAGCAGAGGGGAAGAAACTATTCAGGTGTTGAGAGGTTTTGGTCCTGATGGAGCGCAGCCTCCTGCCAGAGGGGAGGGGGTTTGAGGCGTCCTGGAGGCGTGCAGGTCGTGGAGGGATGGCAGATTGCAGCCGATCACCTTCTCTGCAGAGCGGATGATTAATTGTGTAAATTAGCTTATATATAAGTTAAACTAACCTTCACTGTCGATATGTTTTGGGTATTATATTTGGTCATTTTATAGTTGTGGTGGTCAGGTACTACAGTTTATTCTTAGAGCTGTTTCGTAAACTGATATTGACACCTTACCTTTGTCACAGGAAGAAAATATATAAGGCAAATATGTGTTATGCTTTTGCTGAACCTTTCCATAATGAACAGGATTATAATTTGTGTCCTTCTTCTGCTGCTCAGTGCCTCCATGTTTGGGACCTGGATGTTCGGGGATACCACAGCGGCCTGTGGCGGCTCTTCAGGAAAAGAAATCATGTCCTGGTGGTGGCCGTGCCAATCTCCCCATACTCGTGAGTAAACTGAATTTATGCGTCAGTTATACTTTTGTTCGTAAAGATTACATGGTCCGCCCTATGTACATTTCCTCGTCTGTCAATGTTTGTGTTCCGTAAAAAATATGACACGCAGATTCAGTTACACATTTGAAATGAAAACATTTCAAAATGCCATAAAATGTCACAATTGTACTTGTGTCAAATAAGCAGATACTACTCTACTACTGCTGAAATACAACATATTGCAAGAATGAGGGTCGATCATTAGCTTCACAGGTTGATCTGCAGTATTGCATCTTGTGGCTTCAGATGGTACTGCGTAGAAAAAGCAGACCTGAGGCTAAATCATCTAAAAAAATCTGGTTAATGAAAACTTGGGGAAAAGATTAGCCTCATTTTCATGTTGCTCCTCGGTGTGTTCGAGGCACATGCCTTTACGGATAGCTGTATGGGTTAAAGTGCATCTGCTCACTCAGACACTTAACTTAAGAACTTAAGTGTAATAACTCTTTAGATCTGTGTTTGTTCCAGAACTCACATCCCTGCTTAAATAATATTGAAACAATGGTTGTGTGATCATGGAAACTGGGTGTAGTACCCAGGCGTCTCCACATAGAAATCAAGTTTTGACGATAACTCGTACATGAATCCATAACGCAAAATGTGGAAGATGAGGCCCAAAAGCAACGACCCAACAACAAACATTACTCATCTTCAGCTTGACTTTTATACTTTTTTGACTGTGGACAATTATTTTTGTATCTTGTGTTTGCTCTTTTTGTCTTTTGTAGTTTAATTTAAGCAGATGTATTCATAGTAAATCAGCAACAACCGTTGTTTCTATTTGTTTTTGTTGCTGTACGGTAGGTTAAAAATGACACTTGAGTAGAATCCAACAGATAACCTTCCCCCAACGCAGCAACAAACACAAATCTCTCTATTTCCTTTTTCTCATCTTTCTCCACTGCCTGTCCACTCTCTGTCTCCTTCTTCCTGTCTCTCCATCTCTGTCTCACCACCTAGTGAGAAGAAACCACCCGGTGTCACTCCCATTCAGTTAGATCCTCCGCCCAAAGAAGAGGGAGCCGTGGTGGATCAGGTGTAGCCCCGATGTTACACTCTGTCGCACACATGCACACTACAACCAGCCCAGGCCTTAACGACGACAACAACAACAACCACTAAAAATCCAGTCTGGGACCCACAAAAGACGTTCTGACTTTTCCTAGATTGTGTACGAGGAGACACCTGGGAAATGGAGTTTCTTATTTTTCAACGAAAGAGGGGTTAACACTACAAACTGCACTACTACATCCGTCCAACAGCTTGAGGAGGAACGTAGTTGCAAAAAACAGGTTTTGGTGACTGAACAACCGAGACAGTATATGACTGTCAACAGCTGTCTCTTTCTGTTGCCGTGACAACTGTGACGGCTCCACGGTCTCTTACATTTCATTTTGAAGCTGTGACTTTTTCAGCGACAACGGTACAAATGACGCAAATCAAACACTCACCACATTTCGGAGGTTGTTGTGTTTTTTTAACTACTACTTTTTGTACATACGTTTTAACTTATCTCTATTTATTTTACATCTATCAATCAAAAAAGGAGTTTAGTGGTTTGTTTGCTATTTTCTTTTCTTTTTTAAATATCCACTTTTATCAAGATCGGTGCATTTTTTTTTTTTTTTTAAAAGCCTAACGTTTACAGATAATGAAATAATAATGTATATACTTGCCTATATATATTTTTTAACGAAAATGTAAAGGGTCAGCATCTTTTTAAGCGTTAGATATTGAGTTTGAGTGAAAGAGTTCATAACAGACCTGTGGGTCAAAACAAGTCATACAATAAATTGTTCTAGTTTAATTGTAGTCCTTTATTTTGGAAAAAACTGTCATTTTTTGTTCAAGTTAAAAAGAAATAAACATTTCAGTCTTACAAGTCACTGCATATTATCTTTTAAAATGAGCCTGTTCTCTGTGTTGGCCTCTGTCAGCCACCGTAGGGTCAGAACAGAACGTTGTGACTTTACACGGTTATACCCTTTAGGTGCAATACAGAAAGCTCATCTAGGTGTTTGCAGACTACAGGTAACTGACTGCTTCCATTGCTGAACTATTTAAGAGCCACAGAACAGACACACATTCGAGGGTCTTTGTGTGTTTTATGAATTAAAACAACTGCTGTCCTCGAATCAAATAGCAGCAGGGTGAACTCATCTTTTTTACAGCTGACAAAGTGATTTTGTTATTTGCCTTATGATCAGTTTTCTGTGGTTAAGAAGTTGGGAGGTTCTCAAACATAAACGTCCATATGTCAACAACTGTATTGATACCCCAATATATGACATTTAACATATTTATACACGAAATAAGAAAGATCATGGTTGCTGCTATAGTATTAGGGTGAGTACAAATATCCAAATTGATCAAATTATGTCAGCGACTCTCACAGCTGTGTCCTTACCAAGAGTTTTTATTTTCTTGTTCTATCACACACTTCATTTACCTTTTTATTTAAATGTCCAGCTGATGTAACCCTACCGACTAAATGAGTGACTGTGTGATTCCAGTTTCAATGCATCGATCAGTATTCGCAGAGTGGTTTGATTTTAATATTTGTATCTGTGTGCCCAGAGAACAACATTAACTCTCTGCAGTCAGACAACACCACTGACTCAGCAGTATTGCAGGCCGTGTCGTGACTGAATTCATCATTAAGACGTTGAAGAGGTAGAATCTGCCTACTTCATGAGCTAGTTTTTCATTTTTGTCTTTTCATTTCACTTTTCTTTTGTGTGCTGCTTGTTGTTTAGTCAAGAAACTAAATCCCTTTCTCCTCAGCAATACGCTTGATTTTGTGTTATGCTGTGAGATCATTTGATCTGCAACGTACGTTTGATGGGTTTCGGGTGCAGTTCCACGTTTGAGTTCCTTTTATCTTTTATCATGATGAATGAATAAAGATGTTTTTTACTGACGTTTCATAGTGGTACTCCTACTTCCCCCTTTTGAGGTCATACCGTACTGTATGTTATTGAAATAATTCATACAGAAGGATTTATTATTAGTGCATATTATTCATGAAATAAACTTGGAGCTGCTGTTTTTCTTAGCTCAGATTTCTGTACTCGTGTGGCCTTGTGCTGCCTGCAGATTTCCCCAGAGAGCTCCAGGCAGAGCAACGGTGAGAGGAAACGCATGCAGCGAGGGAAATGTATGCAAATCCACGGGGCTCGGTGGATTTCTGCAGCCGCTGCGGTCTACCAAGGACAAATGCTGCTTCCTGCCCTTTGAGCTCTGACTTTCATAACCTGTGATGTAATAAAACAGGAAAGATTTAGCTAGGATTATCGTCAAAGTCCAATTATTGAAAATAACTTCTGGTTTTATTACATTTTGCATCTTTTTAAAGCTTGGTGTTTGAGATTTACATTTTCAGAGGTGGTTTTCCCACCTTCAAAGGAGTCTTTGTTTCACTTCTGTGTGAAATGCAGATTGAAACCTCACATTTGGTAGCTCAGTTGGCTTTCTGTCAAACTTATGATGGTGTTTGGTAACTCACTGCAGACTTTTAAAGTTTTTCTTTTGGTACGTACAAAGGGCCAACGAGCTCCCAGGATGCCATGATGGTGGGACTTAACTCCTTTTGGCTAGTCGAGTCTAATTTAGATTTTTAATAAACAAGTTTCAAGTCAAAACACAAGTTCATATTGCAAGTCTTTAATGTCTCTAATCGCTGACGACTTGAATGACGAAACAATTTCCTTTAAAAAATTGCGACATCCTTCAAGTGCTTTCCATGGAGAGGTATAATAATCAAAAATACAAACGGCTTATCACTAATTGCAATGTATTTAAGGCAGTAAAATCCATGCAAGGCACGTCTTGACTCAATGTTTGTAATCTTCTTCTCATGTGTGGCTGCAAGTTGTCACCTCCTCTACAGCTCTGGACCAACAGCCAAGCCTTAGATCATGACCCTTATGATGTGACAGAGCTGCCATGGTATCTAAGCTTAGATTCAAAGACAAAATATTTCCCCAAAAGTGCACGTTACCAACTGAAGAGTGTAAAGACAAATATTTTGCATTTACCAGGCAATTGGCATCTAACCAAGATACCCTCTCAAGTTGCATCAGAGGAAAGCATCCAGGGTGTGTGGGCTAATGAATACTCGGTGCAGATCAGGTTATTTTGGCTTCTGGCTGCATCAGTTATGTTTTTTTTTATCTGCAGTTTTAAGTCACTGGATTCCTCTTAAGTATGACCCAAATTCAAGAACTGAGCTAAATGAAATGAGTTATTTAAGAATGCCGAATAATAATAATAATAATAATAATGCATCTTTTGGTGGACATATTACTTGAATTCTTATGTTTAAATATCTTATTTGATCTTTTATTGCACATTCTTAGTTCTTATATATACTATGTTATATTTTATTTGAATATATTTTATTCATTATATGATGGAACAACTGTCTCAAAAAACTATTATTTCTGATTCTGATGTTAATTAATCTGGTGAGATATAGCCGATTCTGACACTTCCTGTACAGTAGGTTGTTTCTGGATCATTACAATTGTGTCTATTGTGTCCATCTCATTGGTTGCTCAATATAACACTGTACTCACAATAATGCTAAGATCTGGGAGCTTGGTAACATTGCAACAAGAACTATTTGGATCAGATCAGGTTTTAAACTCGCTTTCTTTTTGTTAGTTACAAACTCTCTTCCTTCTTTACATCTTCTCACTATTACCTGTCTCCCAATTGTTTCTGTCAACAACTAAAGACTGCAAGATATTATCATTACTGCTATAACAAAGGAACAAAACAACAAACATAAGAACCAATTTGTTATACACCAGAATTATTCATTTTGACTTCAAACAGTCCATTCTGATTGGAAACAGCTGAGGGTGCATGGACCCGCCCGGGTGGACATCATCACACTGACAGGGACCTCACTACTGTTAATGAAGTCTGTCATGTGTGTTTGTGAGCTGATGTCACTGTTTGTGTTTGTGAAGCTGTCGGCTGGAGAACATTTGCATCAGGTCTAATTATGATGGATTTTACGACTGAGGGTAAACGCAATTCTGTGTATGTGTGGGGGGTCATGTGTGTGTGTTGCACTAACTGACAGTTCCATAGTGTCATGTAGCACTTCCCCCCCTCCCCCCACCCACACATGAAGCTTTTGTTTCCTTCTTACACACACATACCAATGGCTGTCATCACCAGCTCCAAACCCAGACATTTGTGCCTGTCAGTCAGAGAGAGAGTGTGTGTGTGTGTGTGTGTGTGTGTGTGTGTGTGTGCCTTTTAAATGTCATTTTTGACCTATTGAGCATTCTGATGAGCTGAGCTCAGAGGCTGGTGGCTGAGATGTAGATGGAATATTGATTTTGTTGGTGTGTGAGGGATAGGAGTGCCGGGGGTTATTGTTAAACATGGAGCTCAGAAGCACTGAGATGATGACAGATTTAACTCTAAACACCTTGCAGGTGTATAATTGGATGGAAAACGGAACGTATTTTGTCTTCTCGTGGTTTGTCTTCATTTATACATGCCTTGTTTTTGCCATGGTGCACATCAGTGTGTGGCCAAAGCAGAATTTATATTACAACTAAGGTTATTTTAAATTGCTCAAACACACATTAAAAGATCAAATTCGATAAAGCGGAGGTAAGAGAGCAAAGTCACCTTGCCTTTATCTTCTATTAATATATGCTATAATTATCCCTATTTAATCTCTTGAAACACATTTTATTGACTTCAACCTTATCTTAAAATGATGATCTTCATATATATACACAAACAGCCTTTGTTTGCCTTTCCATGCCTATAAATATATGCCATATTGTGACAGTTGTGCATACATTGTTTTGAATAACTTAATGTTTTTGTATGTCTTAGTTTGCTGATAAAGGGAAAAAAAATCTTGAAATGTTGAGGGAGAATCGAGTTGAGTGTGCATTATCTCCAAAGTCTAAATAAGAAAGCAAATCATTTAAATTGCTAAATGATGTAGAATTTGTATCACTTTCAAAGGAGATGTCATTGATTTTTTTTTGTTGACCATTTTGAGGCAGTGGAACGTGCAATATTGACATTTGTTATAGCAAACAGTTGACAGCAGACACAAAGCAACATTACCACCCATTTGCATTGTTTGTTTCCACTGCTAATCGTCCTTTAGCCTCTGTTTGGTTAGCAATATCACACTCAGTGGACTTTACAGAAACAAACCACAACATTGTAAACAATACAATTACTGGAAAATAATGAAAAGACAAGATAGTGTAACATATAAATCAAATGAATTAAGAGACAACAAAAGACAATTAAAAACCAATCAAACGATACAATAAAATGAAGGAACCAGGAGGACGAACATAGGGAATAATCTGAAACCAGCTCTCACTAAAGGCTTGGTCTTGAGCACACTCTTAAAAGTATGGACACTGTCTGCCGTTCTGATAAAAAAAGGAAGTTAGTTCCACAGAAAGGGAGCTTGGTAGCTGACTATCTGACTCCTGACCTGCTTTTGCGGGTTCTGGGAACCAGACCTGCACCGTGGAAATGTAATGTTCTAGAGGGGATTACAAATTAAAATAGGTATGGTGGTGCCTGACCATTAAGTTATTTGTAAGTACTCAATTATGTACTTAACTGGGAGCTGCTAAAATTGGAGTCCTATGGAGTCCTTTGGAGTATGGTCCTTTTTCCTTGTTTTTGTTAATAGGCGGGCTGCAGCATTTTTAGCCCGTTTTCTATGGATGTGTAGGGACAGACTGATAAAAGGAAGTTGCAGTAATTCTGCAACGTTTTGCTCTAGCTCTATCAGTGAAAACAAGATGTGTTTCTTGGTTTGGTTCTGGGTTCATCGCAAGTCAGGGTTTAACAGCGTTTTAAAACAGAAACAGTGCCAATGAGAGCAATGGGACCATAACCAACACATAAAATGTGGGTCATAAAACCAAAACAACGAGCTCAAAGACACCAAAAGCTCGTAGAACTGCAGAGTTGCATTATAATTCTCTGCAGGTTTGTCACCTTTTATATTATGCGTTGACATTTGATCCATTGTTGATAGAAATATTGATCAATGCACTTTCAATATTGGCATTTACTGAACATTTGAAGAGTCTCCTTTCTGAAATCTATAACTAAAATATGGCTACGGAAATCATACCTTTGCACAAAAGACTGAAAAGCAATGGGGGAAATTCAAAACATCTCCGCTAAGTGTCTTATACTTTCTGTAGCCCCCTTTGTGTTTTTCTTTCTTTTCATGTTGATTGCTCTCTCTTCCCATCATAGTCATTCTGTTTCTCTCTTTCATATTTAAAGTATATTATATAGACTCTATTGTTGCTGTTTTCTCTCTGTAAAAGCCTGAGCATTTGAGATTAAAGCAGAATTCAGCAGCGATAGATAACCTGCTGCATGGCTGAACAACGCTCCACCTCCTGTCTATTGTCAGACCTGTTATTAGTCAATATTTACTCAGCCTTGTGTCACAATGCATGTAATCTTCACCGGCAGGAGCTGGAGCACTGATAAATAGTATGCGGGACAAAATAAGTATTAAGGTCTGCTGCTTCCATTCACATACATCGCCAGAGCAAATCAGCTTTGAAAACATGTTAAACAAAACACTTTGTTTTTGAGAAAAGCTCAGTGGTACTGCCATGTTAGTATAGAAAAACAAGGATAAATTGTGGTCTTGGACATCTCAATCATGAAAGCATTTTGAAACAATGAGCCCTGGGGCATAGATATAACATTAGAGCACTCTTTTGTATTATAAACTCTACTCATTGTACGCTATACTTGCAGAAAACTGCAAATGTGTGTTCATTACGCGTCACTTTGGTGTTGTTTTGCATTTCTTTAGTTTTTTCTTTGTCTCCTTGTGGTCGTTATGCATCGCTTTGCTATAGTTTGGCATTCCTTTGTGGTCGTTTTTGTCT